TAGGTTTTAATTTCTTCTTGACTCTGCAGTTGGATAAATATGTGTTCATCTGGGTATTCAAACTTTTAATCCCATTAATCATAGTGTTTCCCTCTATTTCTGAAACCATCACCATATCTAGTTATGTCTGCTTTTTCAATGATCGTATCTTGATCACACCTTTTATTGTATTTCTTGATTAATTTTTATTAGTTTTGTCAAAAAATAACATTTGATTTTGTTAACCCTATTTTCTTTTGTTTACTATTTTATTAGTATAGGCTTCTCTTTTACTTTCCTGTTTTCTGTACTGTTTGGGGATTTATTACTTTTTTTTTTTAACTTATTAAAGTATTAGCTTGGCCAAGAATTTCATTCAGATTTTTCTATTCCATCTTAGGGAAAAACCTGAACAAACTTCTTGGCCAATGCGGTGGATACTTACTTCATTATTTTTTACTTCCTTATGGTTCCTTTAAACTGAAATAATCTTATAATACTCTAAATGTTCTTTTCATTCCACTTTATCTATATTTCACAAGTTTTCATATGTGGAATCATTATCATTCCATGTAATACTTTAAAAATTCTCATTGCAACTTTTTATTTGACCCATGAGTTATTTCAAAGTGTGTTTCTAAATTGGCTAACTGATTAGAGCTTTATCTTTTTGCTGTTAATTTCTACTGGAATTCAACTATGGTTAGAGTACTAGGTTTATGTGAGATGTTGAATTTTCCATTTTTTTTGAGACTTAATTTGTAAACATTTCAAGGTACAAGAAAACCAGTGTTAAGTATAGTATTCAGATCTCTTATGGTCTTCAGTTCAGTTCAGTTCAGTTGCTCAGTCATGTCTGGCTCTTTGCGACTCCAGGGACTGCAGCACACCAGACTTCCCTGTCCACCACCAAAGCTTGCTCAAACTCATGTCCATCAAGTCAGTGATGACATCCAACTGAAAGGTTGTTGCTGAGCCATGAAAGATGCCGGAATTCTTGGCCTCCAGAGGAGAAAATTCAATCCAGAGTCAGTGATGAGGCTTGATTGCTCAGAGCTTTTGTGTAATAAAGTTTTATTAAAATATAAAAGAGATAGACAAAGTTTCTGACCTAGACATCAGAAGGGGCCGAAAGAGTGCCCCCTGCTAGCCTTTAACAGTATGTTGTATACCTATCAGCACGCTGTTAATTAGAGAAAGGAAATGTCTCAAAACTCAGAGTGGCACCGGGCCCCTCACCCACAACATGCATTTTGATTGGCACAAGGTGAGTCATCCCAGGCCATGAATCTTGAAGAAAGGCAGGTTTCCAAGTAAATATATAGTTTTTTTTAACATAGATTAGGAGAACAATGTATGAGTAAAACATACTAGTTTGTCGAGCCCTTATCAGTTCTGAGTCTTATGGGGAACCCACTTGAAGAAAGACAGAGTCTAGGGTAAATGCATAGTTCATTAACATAGCTTAAGAAAAATATTTCCATTAAAAAAATGCATTGGTTAGCTCAAGGTTTGAGGAAAGTTAAGGTCAGGTGGAAGCTGGTGTTGTCATGGCAACACAGAATTTTAAGAGAAAGCTCCTTTTAATTTTGCATAGAGAAGGGAAAAATATCTGACACTTGTATTTTGTTTCCTCTTGCCACTGAAGAGAGAGGAAAAACATCTGACACTTGCAGTGTATTTCCTCTGTTTGGAGACCCCCTAGCCTTCCTGCCTGTTACCCTCTCACAACCATCTCATCCTCTGTTGTCCCCTTCTCTCCTGCCATCAATCTTTCCCAGCATCAGGATCTTTTCCAAAGAGTCATTTGTTTGCATCAGGTGACCAACCGGTTGGAGTTTCAGCTTCAGCATCAGTCCTTCCAATGAATATTCAGGACTGATTTCCTTTAGGATTGACTGGTTGGATCTCCTTCTAGTCCAAGGGACTTGCAAGAGTCTTCTCCAACACCACAGTTCAAAAGCATCAATTCCTCAGTGCTCAGCTTTCTTTATACTCCAACTCTCACATCCATACATGACTACTGGAAAAACCATAGCTTTGACTAGACGGACCTTTGTTGGCAAAGTAATGTCTCTGCTTTTTAATATGCTGTCTAGGTTGGTCATAGCTTTTCTTCCAAGGAGCAAGTGTCTTTTAATTTCATGGCTTCTGTCACCATCTGCAGTGACTTACTTATAGTCTTACTCATTTCTATATGCTTGATCTGCTATTTGCTTGAAAAATGTGTGTTAAAATACCACTATTATTGTTTGTTTATTTTCCCCTTGCATGTCTCTTAGCTTTTGCTTTAAGTGTTTGGTAACATTCTTATTAGGTATATGCATGTTAAGAATTAGCATAGTTTCTTGGCTTAGTTTTCCTTTTAACATTATGGTAACCATCTTTATACCTAATAATACTATGGTAGGAAAGGGGACCCCTTCCAAAACTGGGCTCTTGTCTAACACTGAGAAATGAATTGTCTGAGGAGACACATGTGCTGACAAAGTAAGAGATTTTATTGGGAAAGGGCACCCGGGTGGAGAGCAGGAGGGCAAGGGAACCCAGGAGAACTGCTCTGTCACATGGCTTGCAGTCTCGGGTTTTATGGTGATGGGATTAATTTCTGGGTTGTCTTTAGCCAATCATTCTGACTCAGAGTCCTTCCTGGTGGTGCATGCCTTGTTCAGTCAAAATGGATGTCAGAGAGAAGGATTCTGGGAGGTGGTCGGACATGTGGTCTCCTTTTGACCTTTTCGGAACTCTTCCGGTTGGTGGAGGCATATTAGTTCCCTGTTCCTTAGCAGGACCTCCTGTCATAAAACAACTCACACAAATGGTTACTGTGGTGCCTGGCCAGGGTGGGTGGTTTCAATCAGTGTGCTTCCCCTAACAATACTTTCTACCTCAAAGTTTTTTTTTATTATTGTTACACCAACTTCCTTTCAATTATATTTACGTATCTATACCTATTCTCTCCCTTCCTAACTTTCTGTGCCCGCAAATATTAGGATTTTATTTCTTAATTACAATGTGACTAAACCTTGTTTTGTAAATCCACTGTAAACATTCTTGTCTTTTATCCCATTAATGTATTCAGTATTCATTTTGATAACTGACATTTCGGATTTATATTTTCCATTTTATTTTATTTTATACTTTTTATATACTTCTGTATTTTATGTTTATGTTTTTCCTTCTCTGTAAACTGATTGTATTTTCTCTAATCTCCTTGTTTCTTCTTTTGGAAGGAAGTTTTCTATTATATGGCTACTATTGAAAGTATAACATGGATTCTTATCTATTCAAAGTCAGAATTAAATGAAATCCCAATGTTTCAGCTCCAGTCACTCTGTGCCTTATTATATACTGTCATATACACTTGTGAAAACATCACCATAATCAAAGATAATGAACATACCCATCACCCTTTAAAATGTCCTTGTGCCCATTGTAATTTTCCCCCTTCTGAACCCCACTCTTTCTTCATTTACAGGCAGCCACTGATCTTCTTTCTGTAACAGTAGGTTTGCAATTTTCCAGAATTTCGTATAAGTGAAAACATACTCTTTTTACCCAGCACAATTATTGAATATAATAGTTTTCTCCGTTTTATTGCTAAGTAATATTCTGTCATATGAATATATCACAATTTGTTTATTCACTCACCTGTTGATGTACATTTGTGTTGTTTTAAGTTCGGGACCATTACATTCTCTTTTTTATTTTTACTTTTTTTTTTTTATTTATTTTTATTAGTTGGAGGCTAATTACTTTACAATATTGTAGTGGTTTTTGTCATACATTTACATGAATCAGCCATGGATTCCATTACATTCTTATAAAGTTCTTTTCCACTCCATGTCAGTTAAAAAGAAAAAATAGCCAAATTTTTTCTAGTACTATTATGGCTTTATATTTCTGCATTTAAATTTTAATCTATCTTGATTTTATTTGGTGAATAAAATATATTAATTTAAAATAGGCTAAATTAAATTTTTCCTGAGGAGTAAGTCAATTATGCCAATATTATTTATTGACTAGTATATTCTTTGAAGTAATTTGATTCTTGATCTTTATGTATATATTAAATATTTGTAAATACTTGAATCTTTTGTGGCTCATATTTTATACCACTGAACTCGTTTAAACCCTTGACTAAATATTATTGTTGTAAAACACAGATTAATATCTTGTAATTCATACTCTTTACATTTCTTGTTAAACCTTTCTTGGTTACTCCCAATTTTTTTTCATCCATTCAATTAATTTCTTTGGAAATTTCATTGGAATTTGTGATCTTGGGATTTATAAAAAGAAACATATAATATTTTGTCTTCATCCTTGTTTCTGGCACAAAGTCCCTATAATCCTTAGGGTATCCTAAGTGATGAGTGGGACAACTATCTTTTGCTATGTTAATAAGGAGACTTTTGGACAGCATGTAAGTTTAAGGGCTTTTGTTTGTTTAGTTCTTTACAGTTTCCTTGGCTCCTTTACATAATATTATCAAATTTAAATTTAAAAATCCTTATGAAGTACACATAAGGATTATTCCCATTTCTATCAAGGTACAGGTCAACCTGAAGGCTTAGTATAAAAGAAACATCATGATATGAACCTTATCGGTTTCTATAGACCCTCATCATTGTCCACCACCACCCAAATTACGAACTGTACCAACTACTCGAGTCTCCTCCACCTGTTTGAAACTCATGGCTTCTTTTTAAACTCCATTCCTTCACAGGCACTGTTTACTCTGACTGAAATGCTGACCCACTCTCCTGACCAATCCTCCATTTTGCCTGGATAACTGCTACCTGACCTTCAAAACTCTTTCCAGTGTCTCTGCTTTTAGGTAGTATCTAGCAGAAGTAGAATGAGTGAGACCATTTAGGAAGATGGTAGGATGAAACAGACAAGCGACAAGTAAATGACTAAATGAGCCAATGAGAAAAGCGGAGCTATCAGCCATGTTTTGCCACCCCTTGGAATGTATGACTTCTGATATAACCATGTGCTTTCTGCCTTTGGAACAGGGTCTCTCTTGTGATACCTCCATGCCAAAGGTCCCGCTATGCCACCTACTTTGATGTCGCTGTTCTTCGCTGCCTACTCCAGCCGCACTGGTCTGAGGAAGGCACTCAGTGGTCTCTGATGTACTATCTACAAAGACTGAGACACATGTTGGAAGAGAAGCCAGAAAAGCCTCCAGAGCCAGATATTCCTCTCCTGCCCAGACCCAGGAGTAGCTCCATGGTGGCAGCAGCTCCCTCACTAGTGAACACACATAAAACCCAAGTAAGAGCATCTCGGGTCTACTGTTTTTTTCAACAAACAACTTTGCCATAACAGAGTCTTTTTTTCTTCTGTGTATCCAGCTCTTATTTATCCCATTGCTGACTGATTGGTGGGTTATTCTGATACTATTATCCTTTCCCTTCCATCTTTTACTACTGGACCATTTTGCTGTTCTGTTTTGCAAAATTCCATTTTGCATTTAATTGACCATCCAAAGAAGTGTTTTCTAAATGCCTCTTACACACACTAATCTAGAGTAAACTTCTGTTGATCCATAATAATGGAAAATGGGTCTTCTGGCTAATCAAATTGCTAGTTAATAAAGAGTCTTTGTATATAACTGTCAATTACCAATATTATAAAGTGCATGACACTGGTGTTTTACTGAATATGACTTAACCTCCTTTGCATAGCTCAAAATTTTCCTGTGCCTCAATGTCATCTTTCACAATATTGGTTTTTGATATATAGTCTTGCTCTTTATTATAGATGTTTGAAGGAATAAACTGAATATGTACTGATGACATCCCCATGAAAATCACTTTTTGATAAATGAAAGTACTAATAGCTGCTTAAACACTTGTTCTCTTTTTCAACATGTTAAATATGTAAAGTATGATCTGCAATGTGTTGCAGTTGTTTGAATTTATTGAAATGTGAATTCGCTGTATCTGAAATATGTCTGCATATTCTGAAAATAAATAAGAGTGATATCAGAATGAAAAGGAAATATGTTCTGTTTTAGTAATAGATGGTTCTGCCCAAAGTGAATATCTCCTTTGGTGAATCACTAAATGGAAAAACACATTTTTAAAATAGAAAAAGAAATTCCTACCCCCTTCTTATTTTCTTGGCTTTCCTAAATCTGGAACTTTGTGGTCTTACTGTTGAAATCTCCAAAGAGAAGTTACCATTATTTCATATATCTCTGTTGTAATATGTAATATATCTCTAAATCCTTGACCATTAATCTATTTTTATTGTCTATTAAGGATCTCACCATGAAGTGCAACGAAGAGGAGAAATCTCTCAGTCCTGAAGCCTTTTCCAAGGTTTCATTGACGAATTTACGCAGGTCTGCCATCCCAGATCTTTCTTCAGATCTTGGCATGAACATTTTTAAGAAGGTGAGTAGAACCACTTAAAAAAAACAAAACAGCTACAAAAAAACAGCAGGGCATGAAATGCTTCTGATTGTGCTGCTGAGGCAGGTGGGTTGAGGAAGGGACCCCAGAATAAAGGTCCACTCCCAGCTGTGGCACTGACTTGCGGCATGACCTTGGGCAGCATGACTTTTCACATTCTCTCCCTGTGCAGGAGTGCGTCCCATTTTCCACATTATGTGGGGTTGTTAGGAGCTCAATCCTGATATGTGTAAAGCGCTTCTAGTAGGTGTGGTCATAGAGATAGTTGTGGTAGCAGTGATGGTATCATACATTTATATAGCTCATCTCATTCTACCAAGCACTTCATATAAATAATTCTTATGTAATCCAGTGAGACTTTTATTCTCCACAATTTGCACCTACAAACCTGAGTCTTTTTGCAGTTCTTAGAGTAATGGGATCATCATAGAACACTCATTCCTAAAGTCATCTCCGTTTTTAAGGCAATAGAAAAACCAAGCTTTGTGATAATGTAGTAAATCCTTATAACGGACCACTAGTTTTACTACGGTCACTTCTCTTTGTGAGTGACAGTATAGGTTTCCATTCAGCAAACATTTATTGCACATTCACAAGAATCTAGAACACTAAAACTGGGAAATTAAAGGTTGAATCTTTGTGTAAATAAACTGACTTGGGAGTCAGTTGATTGGTTCAAATTCCACTTCTACCATTTTCTACCCATGTGATACTGGCCAAATGATACTGGTTTCTTCACTTATAAATGGGTACATAATATACTTACTTCAAAAGGTTATGATAATTGAGATAATGTGGGTAGAATCTTATTGGGCCTCATACTTAGCAAGTACTCAATAAATGTTAACTATTATTCTCAACAATAAAAAAGAAAAAGACTGCACCTTAGAAACTTTAGGTAGTTTTAGAAAGATTGAGTCCAAACTCAAAATTAGGTTTTCTAAATAAATATTTCATGCTCTTGTTAATCCACTCTTTGCCTCTCTTTTTTATAAGCAAATGGAGCTAATCAAATAGAAAATAATGTGTAAGATAATGTATGTGTGGTAGCTTATTTTTTCTTTTGCAAAATGACTAGTTTGTGTCAATGAAGAATACAGAATTACCAATCTATCTATAAGCTCAGAGTTTGCTATGCAACATTGATAATGCAGTAAAAGACAAATGCTGTATTTTTCTAAAACTGTTAATCAGTGGGGGGGGGGGGGGGCGGAGAGGTTTTCAGTTCTGATTGCAAATGAAAATCTCTGCAGAACTTTTAATAAATCAAGGGCCCAGGCCTGACCCTGGACCTGTGAAGTCACAATTGCTGAAGATTAGGCCCAGACATTAATACATTTTAAAAACTTCAAGCAATTCTAAACTCTTAGATATACTGGATCTTGAATTTCTTTGATTGATAGGAGTCATAGGGTTGTACCAATGCATATTCTGCATCTTCTTTGCCTCTCCTATGAACAGAGGTATGCATCTGAAGTCATTTGGCTGAAACAATGGATCTGTCTTGAAAAATGGAATAGAAAAAGAGTGTCTGGTCTGTGTGATGACTCAGGACTCCTATATATTAACCCAGGGTTTCTCAAGTTTTACCAAGCATCAGAATCACCTGCATGAATTGTTAAACATTGCTGGCCCTCCCCTTTTGGCTTTCTGATCTAGTATGTCTGGGGTTGAACCTGAGACTCTGCATTTCTGACAAATTCCCAGGCACCGATGCTAGTCCAGGGACCACACTTGGAGAAACATTCCTCAAGCCCAACCCGGCAGAAAAACCTGGGAAATATGTTATCTTTTTCTTAATTTCTTTCACTCCTTTGCACATTGTGGAAATTTCTCCTGTCTCTACTGGATGACATTTGGTGACTTTCTGGGTCTCCTTTTCCTGGAACATTTCCCGAATTTTACTCCAACCCTTTGGGAAGCAAATGGTAACCTTGCCTTTGCCCTGTGCCTGACCTTCGTCTCTCATCCCTGTAGTTCAAGAGCCGCAAAGAAGACAGAGAGAGGAAAGGTTCCATCCCATTCCACCACACGGGGAAGAGGCGGCCTCGGAGAATGGGAGTGCCATTCCTGCTACACGAGGATCACCTGGATGTGTCCCCAACTCGTAGCACGTTCTCCTTCGGAAGTTTCTCCGGGCTCGGAGAAGACAGACGAGGCATGGAAAAAGGAGGCTGGCAAACCACCATTTTAGGTGACCACAAGGACCTTCGAAAGTAGGGCAGAGCTTCTTTGACCTGTTTAGAAATCTGGATCTAGGGCTCCCAGGGAAATCTGTACCTTTCTTGAACAGTTTAGTTGAGAAATCTGGGCCCAAATACAGCCTCCCCAGGACCCAAATAATGCTGTGTCTTCGTAGACAAAGAAATAGAAATAATTGAATTATGCAAGAATCCTGTATAATTAGACAGCCCTATTTCTGATCATTCTATACAATGATTCTCTAAATTTTATTGAAGTACAGTTTATATATAATGTGTTGATTTCTTCTCTATAGCAAAGTGACTTAGTTATATATATGTATTTATATATATGTTTTCAAATTCTTTTAATATTTCATATTCTTTTCACATGATATTGATTAGACTTCTCTGTGCTATCCAGTATTACCTTGTTGTTTATTCATCCTGAATATAATAGTTTGCCTCTGCTAATCCCAGACTCCCATTACTTTCCTCGCCTACCCTGCCTTTCTCTTGGCAACTGCAAGTCTGTTCTCAGTAGTATATCATCCTAGACATGGAAGCATGGCCTTAGAGGGCTCTGTGCATTAATTTTGTGAATCCAAAGGCAGACTTTTCTTTCACTCAGATATTAAAAGAGAAGATGTAAAGAAAAGAAAAGGGAGCTTTTTTTTTTTTTTCCTTTCTGGATGTCATATTAAGAAGACCAGCTTAAAATCAAGAGATGACAACTAGCAGGGGCCTAACAGATGGTTTCTGACATTTGGCTTAGATTGGGGCTGACCTTCTCACAGGCAGCTTCATCAATCATCTCAACCCTGAATGTTCCCAAGGCAGATTTAATTCCTGCTAGTCAGCTGTGCCTTGCAGACTTCCTAATATCCCCTGACTGTCACTGCCATCCTTTGGACAGACAAAATCTTGGCAGAACATCTTTCAGATTTTCTAAACTTCTTGTGGTTCCTGTCCTTCTCAGGGAAATTTACCAGGCGGGGCAGTTCCGACGCGGCCACCGAGATGGAGAGCCTGAGCGCCAGGCACTCCCACTCTCATCACACGCTGGTGAGTGACCTGCCAGACCACTCCAACAGCCACGGGGAAAACACCGGCAAGGAAGGTGGGTCGGAGGCGGCCCCTGCAGGCGGGACTTCAGGTTTCTTTTTCTGTTTCCTGTTTTCTCTCCATGTTCCATTTTCATTGTAATCTGACTCCATGTGCTTTTTGAAAACTTGCATTTGTGTATTTTATGGCTGGATTACTTGTGAGCCATTCTTAAAATTTCCTTAGCAGCAAGAGCTATGGCATAGCACACTGTGAACACCATACCTCTCAGAGGAAAAACAAGGGCAACCCATTCTATATTTGTTTTCACAAGAGCATAGACCTACAGGAAAGACTTCTAGGACATCTGTCACATCCCTCTAAAGGGCTTGTCCATCTTCAGGGGAGGAAAGTCCCTACCTTCTAAGGCCACTGATTCCCTTTCCAGACAGCTGCTATTCTGTGCTTTATGTGGAGCAAATGTGTGCCTCTGGATGAAATCCAAGATGGGTTCTTAATCTGTGCTCTTCTTAACCTATGAGTATAAATTTAGTCCCTCTTTTCCCTGGACTGTATTTCAAGTATCTGATGACATCTATTAGTTACCACCACAAATTTATGTTCTTTTTATTTATTTATTTATTTGTTCCATAATTCTTAAGCAGAAGAGAAAAAAGAATCTTGTTTTTTGTTGCCTAAATATATTAAATAAAACCAAATATTTTCATAGCTACAAAGTTGTGGGGGAAATATTTCAACCAAACTAGCTTAACTATTGGAGAAGGAAATGGCAACCCACTCCAATATTCTTGCCTGGATAATCCCGTGGACAGAGGAGCCTGGTGGACCCCAGTTCATGGGGTCGCAAAGATTCGGACACAACTGAAGCAACCGAACACAGCACAGTGTAACTAACCAGTAGGGTCTATTGTCTAACTGCATAAAATGCACCAGTTAGACAAAAAAATTCTATCCTGGGTCTCAAGAAAGCCAGCTAAGAATTCACATTTTCTATAGCCTTCATTGTTGATTAGATATTATTATACATGACTCAATACCATGGGAGTTGACGATAGCCTTGAGACTCTCCATCAAATATATGCTATAGCTATGATTGTGGTCATGATTTAAATAGTAGGTTAAGTGTCTAACATGATCTTGTAGGTTCATATGGGGGAAGTAAGACGTTGTTTTCCTTTTTCTAGTGCGATCTCAGATCTCCACTATTACAGTTGCAACCTTCAATACCACGTTGGCATCGTTCAATGTCGGCTACGCAGACTTTTTCAGTGAGCACATGCGGAAGCTCTGCAACCAGGTGCCCATCCCTGAGATGCCACACGAACCCCTGGCGTGTGCAAACCTGCCTCGAAGCCTCACAGACTCCTGCATAAACTACAGCTACTTGGAAGACACAGAACATATTGATGGGACCAATAACTTTGTCCACAAGAATGGCATGCTTGATCTTTCTGTACGGAGCAAGAATTTTTCTTACTGAAACTCAAAAGATATTGAATCTTTGGTCCAGTTTTTACAATGTTGGGTAAAATAAACATATAAGTTCTTAGAAATGTTGGGTCTTTAAATGAAAAAGCTACACTTAAAAAAGAAAAAACCTTTTACGAGTGTATCACCCATCTTAGATGCACCTTTTCTTTTTTTTGAGAATAACTTTAGATTTGATCTGATATTAGAATATTTTTATAATTGAAAAACATTAGTGAATCCTGAATACACTTAGTAAATATCTGTATATTTGTATTTGCTAAGTCCCTTATTTTCTAGACAAGTAGTAAAAATTTTGCTTGTTTTCTTTTGTTATATAGGCAACATGACTATAAACCACCCAAACAGCAAGAGAGAATGAATAGAAGTCCATTAAAACATTTAAACCTTCATTCTCAAGAATGCCTATCTTGATTATAGTTATTAGCAAGTGAAAGGGTTGTTATATTTTACAAATATATTTCACACAATTTTTTTTTGGAACCTGGCTCAGCAAATAATTTAAAATATTAAAATCAATAGAAAGACATAATTTAAACATGCAAATATTTTGCATTTAAAATTGAATGTAAATAACAATGCAATTGCAAATATTCCTCTATTATATGCCTAAGGAAACTTTTGGTCTTCACCGATTATTAGTGGAAGGGATTATTGGCAGAGGATTAAAACACTTTGATTTTAGAAACCAGTTGAGCAAGTTTCCATTTGGGCAAATAATTGCTCTCCCATTAATCCATTATGCTTTGTTATCTCCATTAACTGTCTATATTATGGCAATTTTAGAGTCCTTAAATGAGATAACACACTTATACATTTTTAATTCCTTGGGTGATTTGTTGATTAAGCACATATACAAGGTTCCAATGCAGCATAATAAGATCATCTGAAAATTACCTGAATTATTTATACCTACGTGCATAGAACAGCCTAAAGGAAATGCAATAAATGGAATAGCCAAATCTATTTAGGAAGAGGTAATTCAAGTAACTTAATTACTCTCTGATTACTTTTGTCTTCCCCCAGGTGGTTCTGAAGGCCGTTTATCTTGTCCTTAACCATGACATCAGTTCTCGCATATGCGACGTGGCGCTGAACATTGTGGAATGCTTACTTCAGCTTGGTGTGGTGCCCTGTGTAGAGAAGAACAGAAAGAAGAGTGAAAACAAGGAAAATGGAACCGTAGAAAAAAGGCCAAGTGAGGGAACTTTCCAATTCAAAGGAATATCTGGAAGCTCCACCTGTGGCTTTGGGGGCCCTACAGTGAGTGGAGCTGGAGATGGTGGAGGAGATGAAGGAGGAGGTGGTGATGGAGGAGGTGGAGGAGGTGATGGAGGAGGAGGTGGAGGAGGTGGAGGTGGCCCCTATGAGAAGAATGACAAGAACCAAGATAAGGTATGAATGAACCAGCTTTTGCATACCCATGAAAGGTTATTGCTGATTTCTTTCCATATTTTTGCTTGCCAGCAATTTGTTGGCTCAATAGCCACTAGCCACTAGTCCATCATAAGCAGTATGCATGCATGCATGCTCAGTCACTAAAGTCGTCCAGCTCTCTGCAACCTTATGGACTGTAGCCCACCAGGCTCCTCTGTTCATGGGATTCTCCAGACAAGAATCCTGGTGTGGGGTGCCATGCCCTCCTCCTGGGGATCTCCCAGATCCAGGAATTGAACTCACATCTCCTGCATCTCCAGCACTGCAGGCAGATTCTTTACTGCTGAGCCACCTGGAAGCCTCTAATAAGCAGAATAATTTTTCTGAAGAACATTAAGTTCTTTCTCGTCTTTTAAGGAACACATTTTTAGGTAGCCTGCTTCAGTCACAGGTAAAGAGAAGAAAAGGGGGGATTTTTATTTAGTAAGTTGATTTCTTGGCATTAGTTTAGAAGACTAGCCTTTGTCCTCTTACGTCATAGCGTGTCACACACAGGTGTCTATCGTTTTCATTAGTTATTGTTTCTGAATTTAATTTCCTTTGACTTGACAACACCTGATTTATGATTTCAGCACTTAGCATCAGTAATTAGTTTTCTAATTTGAATTTTAAATAAGAATTACTGCAGCTATATTCATATAATTTATGCTGATTTCAATTTGAGATCTTAGTTGGAAAATAGAAATTGAAATCAAAAAAGAGATTTGAATCTCTAACAGGTGACAATCTATACATCAGGCCAAGTGTTTACAAGTATAAGATTTCACGGTGCAGAGTTCTACTACCTACATATTATCTTAAATATAAATTGTTTTTTTGTGGGGTATCAGGTTTTTACATCTGAAGGTGTGCAGTGCTCCTTCCTCTTTTTTTTCCCCTTTCCCCTCTTTCTAGTCCTACCTCATGCCTGTTTAATTTGCATTTATCATGTTTCCTTCCTCATGGTCTATTCTCATTTTTCCCAATATTTGTGGACTCTCATCCAATAATTCCTGCCCTAATATTCTTAGGTCCCGAACCTGACTTTTCCTTTAGGATTTCTTCTGCTGCCTCACGCATATTTATATGTCTTCCAATTCTAATAGAATCTTCTGGTACTTGACGTTTCCATTCCAAAACATCACTGAGGACAATTTAAGGGTCCTCAGATCTCATTGTAGATGAAAATTATCAAAGTGATGATATTAATCACAAGGGATTTGAACTTGGATCCTAAGATCTAAGGGATTTTTCAGTCAAAAGTTATGTAGGAATTAGTAAACAAATGCGAAGTATAAGGACCACATTTATAAACATGGCAAATAGTAAGATTCTTAATTTAAAATTGTTTTACCTGTCAATCTAGGTGGCAACTCAAAGAGACGGTAGATAGAACTATGTCATTTTGTCACAAGATTCAAGGGAAAATAGAAAAAATAAAAGTTGTCAAATTTTGATAAGCCCTTATCAGTAAAACTTACATATTTTCTAAATTGATGAGGCTTTGTTATGTTTGGGGCTTCCCAGGTGGTGCTAGTGGTGAAGAACTGGCCTGCCAATGCAGGAGACATGAGATATAGGTTCCATCCCTTGTTATGTTTATTGAGGATTTATGAAGTTTATTATTAGTATTTTGTTTCTGTTTGTTTGGGTTTTGTTTTAATTCTAAAATTACACCCAACTAATATTCACATCTAATTTTTTATTAAAGAGCTACAAATGTCTTGCCTATCTAGATGTTATATGTAATCTAGATATTATTAATCTATTATATTATATAAATATAAACCTGTTATATGTAATGTAGATATTATATGTAATATATAGATATTATAAACACTAGAAACTTGATAATATAAATGTTACTTTGACCAGTTACTTTTGATTAGGATGGGATTTTACAAAGTCGGATTATGTGTTCTCCAAAACAACCACAAAAGATGCATATGTTCTATAATTAGTCCTTCAAAATAATATTCTTTGTAATGCATAGAATTTATAAAATTGTACCTGAACGTAGGTCAAGTGCATTGTACTTGTGATTCACACAGGTCTGCTCTGCCTCCAGTCCATCTGTTATTTTCAGTGGAATTGGGAGTTTATCTAATTTTGCAACCTAGTAATACCAGAAGCATGGGGGAAATGATGAATTCAGAAAAGAAGATCTGATTTCTATTTCTATATTTGCCGCAAACGCGTACTGAGAACTTGAAATGTTATTTAATATGTGTCCTGATTTTTGCCTATAACATGCTACGTCTTTCTGAATGTCTCCTTCTGGAGGAGCTGAAATCCCAAGGACATCTGAAGATCCAAAGAAATACAAATAGATTTTTACAAAAAGCTTTGGGAGCTAGGAATTTTTTTAAAGAAATATTTAATAGTTTTAAAATGTTCATAAGTCATTCTTCCAAATCAGCTCTTTCCCAGGGTGACCTTTTCTGAGGCACAACTGCCTGTGGCCACACAGGCTGTGTACTCCACAAGAGCTCTCTGCTAAGGAGGCCAGGCAGGACTGAAATCAGGGCCAGTAAAGGCTGCTTCTAAGAAGAGGCACCTTTTAGTAGAAGGTGCCTACTACTCACTTCTAATTCATCCTCCCAGAACAGTGCCTTTTCTAATTTGCACAAAGTTGCCCCCAAAGGATAGCAGTGCCTCACACCTAGAAATGGGCTTCCTTGGTAGCTCAGCTTGTAAAGAATCCACCTGCAATGAGGGAGTCCCGGATTTGATCCCTGGGTTGGGAAGATCCCCTGGAGGGAGGGCATGGCAACCTACCCCAGTATTCTTGCCTGGAGAATCCCCTGGACAGAGAAGCCTGGTGGGCTATAGTCCATGGGCTATAGTCCACGGAGTTGCAAAGAGTTGGACACAACTAAGTGACTAGGCACAGCACACCTAGAAATAATCATTAACACTGGTTTTGCTATTATTGTGCACCTTACTTGCTTTGCCTCACAAACTCTGTGAGACGGATATTTTATGATTCCCCTTTTGTGAGGCATAGGGTGTTAAGTAGCTTGCCCAAGGTTATGGAGCTAAGATTTTAATTTAAACTTAAAACATTTCTGAATTGGTGTAGGAAAGTGAAAGTATTAGTTGGCTCAGTCATGTCGGACTTTTTGTGACCCCATGGACTGTAGCCCACCAGGCTCCTCTGTCCATGGGATTCTCCAGGCAAGAGTACTGGAGTGGGTTGCTATTCCCTTTTCCTGGGAATCTTCCTGACCCAGGGATTGAACCTGAGTCACCTGCATTGACAGGTAGTTTCTTTACCCTCTGAACCACCCAGGGAAGCCACTGGTGGAATATATGTACCTATAAATAAATAAATATATGTGTGTTCTATGTATGTGTATATGTATGTATGTTTGAGTCTTCCATTTGCAAGCATCTGAGCTGCAGAGTTCCCAAGAAACGGACTCGGACAAAGAGATGTGTGCAGGAGGTTTGTTGGGGTGTCCACTCAGGATCGACATCTGTGAAATGTAAAAGAAGTGGGATGGAGCCAAGAGAGAAGCTGAATTGCAGTGTAGTTGTAACACAGACTTCAGCCCCTCACACAGGGAGCATCAGAGTTGGGATGGTTCTTCAAAGTAGTCCCTGGGTGAAGTAAGGGAGCCCACCTCATTCCATGACCTCCCTCCTAACCCTTTTTACACCCTTGGCCAGTCACTGGAGGCGGCCTGCTTCCAGGAGAGAGCATAATGTGGGTCAAGGCAGATCTCTTTAGCTAAGGGCAGTGCCTGAAGAGGAACTCACCTGAGAGCTGTCAGCCATCAATACTTCCAGCCTTGATTCATGGCAGGAGGAGAAGGGGACGACAGAGGATGAGATGGCTGGATGGCATCACCGACTCAATGGACATGAGTTTGGGTAAACTCCAGGAGTTGCTGATGGACAGGGAGGCCTGGCGTGCTGCGGTTCATGGGGTGGGAAAGAGTCGGACACGACTGAGCGACTGAATGGAACTGAATACTTCCAGCAGCTCAGAGAATGACTGTTCAGTTCTGAAGGGGGACGTTTCTGGGCGTCACAGCCACTACCTGAGCCTTTGGTTAGAAAAAAAATGACCCAGTTACGTAACATTAAGGGAGCAGAGAGAGTGTCTCATCCCATAGTGAACAGCACATGATGTCTAGATAACTCTCATACCTGACACACCCTCCCTGCTTTTGAGTATTCTTTCTATGTGGATGGCCCCAAAGTTTGTGTATCAACCTAAGCATATGACTGTGGAAAAGCCCTTCACAATTTACAGATCAAGGCTTATTCATTATTTTATATTTGGCACAGTAAACTGATGAAGTAGGAAGGGAAGCTATTAAGATCCTCAATTCACAGGTGGGAACACTAAAACACAAAGAGATTCGTTCATTTATCTAACGTCTCAGGTGGCTGTGCTGACAGCAGAGAGTCACTAGAAGGACCGAGGAAGGTTGGCGCTTCCTGAAGGTTATGGTGCAGATCTGCATCATTCCTTAGCAACAGCTTCCTTATGCTTCTTTGGAAACAATTCAAGGGTTTTCTGGAAGCTATGTTCTCCACTTAGAGCAAGGATTACATGAGTCAAGAGAGGATAATAACAGTTCATCTCAGGGGGACTTCCTATTTAACTTCAAATGAAGAACCCATGCTGAATATTTACAAAAAAATTTTTTATTCTCCCTTTGTTTATACATAAGTATTATAATACAGCAAAAGCAAAAAAAAAAAAATTAGAAAAATCCTTCAAAAATGCCAGAAAATGCCACATGATTTCAAAGTTTCAGACTTTGAGCAATTCCAGAAATTTAGCAAAAATCCTTGCCTAGTGATACTATCGGAACACTGCTGGTAAAGGTACCTTCTGGAAAAAGCTGTTTGCCTTTATCATTGATAGTTCACACTGTCCCTCTCTAGACAGTCATTCTGATCACTTGTCAAGCGTATGAAAGCACCTCTTCTACATCCATATCCTGTAGCACTAGAGGGTACTCAAAATGCATATTTTTCTTTATTGTAAATCACATTCTAGATTTTCTAAAAGTTAGCCTGCCTGTTGAGCCCTTGACAATTTTATTTCCCAAACTTCAGGGGCTCACTATAAAACATATATACTTGGTTTAATAATAAAATAGAGTTTCAGTAGCAAAAGAAACTAAGTAACTAAATAAACAGAATCCTCTTTCTCTCTCATTCTGGATGCTAGGATGAAAGTACACCTGTAAGCAACCATAGGCTTGCTCTAACCATGCTCATCAAAATCGTCAAATCCCTGGGATGTGCCTATGGTTGTGGAGAAGGACATCGAGGGCTCTCTGGAGATCGTCTGAGACACCAGGTATTCCGGGAGAATGTAAGAGAATTAAAGTAGATTCCATTTCCTCTTCGTCTTCCCTCCTTTCAAATTAGGAATGAGTCCTTTGACAATGAGGGTCAGTGTTCCCTGAAAAAATAGTTTGTTTTGTGAGGGTAATTAATGCTGTCATAAGGTGGGAGAATTCCCGCAAGATAATCTCAAAACATCTAAAACCCAGGCTTAGGAAAGTTTAATTGGGAAAATAACTTCTGCCTCCTGCCTAGGGCAGGCCAACTCCCAGTTGGTAAAAGGATGTATAATTGGAACATGTGAATTATAGTTTGAAAGAACATTGCAAAAATGAATATATTTAGCAAACTTCTGATGGTCTGTGACAAATGACTTTTTAATCACCTGCCTGGGTACTATGGAAGCATATTTTGTACTAGAAAAAGGGATCCACCTTTCAGATGGAGTTTGTTGTTTTTAGATGTGGAAAATGGCCCTTATTGGGACAAAACAGGACTACAAAAGTAACCATTTTCTGGCTGCTTTGTTTGACAATGAACCTTGACTGCTAAATATTGGGTTGGCCAGAAATTTCCTTCGGATTTTTTCATAACACCTTAAGGAAAATTCAAATGAACTTTTTTGGCCAACCCAATATTTATGATCACATCCCTTTGAACTGTGTGAAACTTGAAACTCTGCCCTGAGGTTTGCAAAACATAATTCTTGTAATGGAACATGGAAATATAACTCTAGCTCATTTTCACTTGCCTCTGCTGATGACTACTTTTCCCTTCAGACTTGGGCAATAACCCACCTCTACAACAAGTTCAAGCTGGAACAGTTGCCTCATACATATTTGGAACTGAAATAATAAGAAAATCAGTTCAGTTCAGTTCAGTCGCTCAGTCGTGTCCGACTCTTTGCAACCCCATGAATCGCAGCATGACAAATAAGGGTTTGATGCAAAATTGAGTCTAGGAAACCCTTTGGCATATCTTAGCAGAGTTTTAGGGTCATGTCAAAATCCAATGCCAGCCATTTTTCTTTGGTATTAGGTTTTGTCATGAAATGTTCACACAGTATCAGCATGCTGACTTTCTTTTTTAATCGGTCATCTACCTACCTACCCATTTATATATTATTCTCTTTTTTTTCTATTCTATTGTGTCATACTAGTTTATTATTCATATGTGGGGGGTTATTCATAATAATTACTTTCTCTAAATTCTGAAACTTGAAAACTTTGACCAAGATCTAGATTTTGGGGCCCCAAATTTTAAGAAATCAAAATAATAAATAATAATGCAGTAGAAGCTGACATTGCCCCCATCATTGCATATATGTTTATGATTTTGGGTCTTTGATTTTTATTCTATCACAGTATGAATAAATGCCTTCAGGGCTAAAATTGCATCACATCTCATGCAGAAAACTAATTCTATGAAATGAAATACCAAAATATAAAAAGAAGCTTCATGCTGTAGTTGGAGTTATAAACTGGTTCTGATATCAGGACCTGTCTTTCTACACGTGGAGAAGGATAGGGCTAGTTGGATCAGAAGCCACTTGTGAGATTATTGTTACTGCTTAGTCACCATGTTTTCTTCTCTCAAGAGTACTGAGTGTTTCCTATCAGGATATCCAGTTTTCTACTTGCCTTCTAAACTTTGTTGACTTATATGGCAGTGCCTCCATTTTCTTGTAGCCCAGTTTTATACTCATTATCGGGATTATATTTACTTATCCATGCTTAGTAAACACATAGTCCATGAGATAGAAATTTGAGAAATCTCCCCTGGGAATGTCTAATTCAAGAAGCTAAATATTTCCAGATTTATCTGGCATTGGATTTTCAGAAGTTACTTAGCTTTAAATGCATAAGAATATTTCTTACCTCTACCAGATCAAGTCCACTATACTTTTATTTTTTTAATAAACCAATTATTATCACAATGGTATTCATCAAAGTGCCTAGTAATTCCAGGGTGTTTCTTAGAATAGTTTAATCATTAGCTTGTAGTCCCAAATTATTGAAAGGGAATTCACTCTTTATATCTCTTGGAGAAGTTTAGAATATTTATTCAGAATCAAAATACTTATAGTTTGATATTCTGATTCTTCCTGAGACTTTCAGTTGAACTCATTCAGACATTGTAATGGCCTCTAAAGAAGAGATTTGAAACTATGCCTTTTTTGGTGTATTTCATAGAGAAGTACTTTAAAACTTCATTTTATAGCAAATAGCATTAATTTTATAAGAAAAAAAATTGCTTGAAATCTAGAAACCAGTAGCCTGTCTAGAATTCAGTTCAGTTCAGTCGCTCAGTCATGTCCAGCTCTTTGAGACTCCATGGACTGCAGCATGCCAGGCTTCCCTCTCCATCACCAACTCCCAGAACTTGCTCAAACTCATGTCCACTGAGTCAGTGATACCATCCAACCATGTCATCCTTTTTTGTCCCCTTCTCCTCCTGCCTTCAATCTTTCCCAGCATCAGGGTCTTTTCCAATGAGTCAGTTCTTCCCATCAGGTGGCCAGAGTATTATAGCTTCAGCATCAGTCCTTTCAATGAATATTCAGGACTGATTTCCTTTAGGATTGACTGGTTTGATCAACCAGTAGCCTCTGGAATAAAAACACCCAATTTCTCGACCTAGTAAAGGAAAAATGAAAGGAAAAAAAAAATCCTCCTGACTTTGTGATATAGATGGCAAGGTCACAACAAGAAGCCATTGCTAATTACAAATTTCAACCTTTTATAATCTTTCCTCTCCAGAGTTCTAAGAACTTTTCTCTGGGCCTTGATTTGTCAAAATGGTGATATAACTTAAATTATCCTCTGACCCACCATTAAGGACCCAATTCTCACAAATTGCTGTCCTTGCCTCTGCCTCGTTGTCCAAATTCTCCATTAAGGTTATCTTCACTAAGCCAACTGTTTTTTCTTGATTGTAGATTTTCTCCCTCAACTCAGTTCAGTTCAGTTCAGTCGATCAGTTGTGTCCACCTCTTTGTGACCCCGTGGACGACAGCATAACAGGCCTCCCTGTCCATCACCAACTCCCAGAGTTTACTTAAACTCATGTCCACTGAGTCAGTGATGCCATCCAACCATCTCATCCTCTGTCATCCCCTTCTTCTCCTGCCTTCAATCTTTCCCAGCATCAGGGTCTTTTCAAATGAGTCAGTTCTTCACATCAGGTGGTATTGGAGTTTCAGCTTCAGCATCAGTCCTTCCAATGAATATTCAGGACTGATCTCCTTTAGGATGGACTGGTTCAATCTCCTTGCTGTCCAAGGGACTCTCAAGAGTCTCCTCCAATACCACAGTTCAAAAGCATCAATTCTTCAGCACTCAGCTTTCTCTATAGTCCAACTCTCACATCCATACGTGACTATTGGAAAAACCATAGCTTTGACTAGATGAACCTTTGTTGGCAAAGTAATGTTTCTGCTTTTTAATATGCTGTCTAGGTTGGCCATAGCTTTTCTTCCAAGGAGCAAGTGTCTTTTAATTTCATGGCTGCAGTCACCATCTGCAGTGATTTTGGAGCCCCCCAAAATAAAGTCAGCCGCTGTTTCCACTGTTTCCCCATCCATTTGCCATGAACTGATGGGACCGGATGACATGATCTTAGTTTTCCGAATGTTGAGTTTTAAGACAACTTTTTCACTCTTCTCTTTCACTTTCATCAAGCGGGTCTTTAGTTCTTCTTTGCTTTCTGGTATAAGGGTGATATCATTTGCATATCTGAGGTTATTGATATTTCTTCCAGCAATCTTAATTCCAGCTTGTGCTTCATTCAGCCCAGCATTTCTCTTGATGTACTCTGTGTATAAGTTAAATAAGCAGGGTGACAGTGTACAGCCTTGACATACTCCTTTTCCTGTTTGGAACCAGTCTGTTGTTCCATGTCCAGTTCTAACTGTTGCTTCCTGACCTGCATACAGATTTCTCAGGAGGCAGGTCAGGTGGTCTGGTGTTCCCATCTCTTTCAGAATTTTCCACAGTTTCATTTCACAGTATCATTTTCCCATTTCTTTGCGTTGGTAAGGACATTCTTTTTTAAGATGATCTTGGCTTATACAAGATATCAGCTAATCTGTTATGTCATTCCACTTCCTTTTGGTAATGGGTGGTATCTAAATACATTTTCTCCAACAGTCACTATCTAAACTAGTCATGAGGCTACTACCAATGTATTATGAGAAGTATAACCACTCTGAGGAGGCAAGACCCTGGCTTCTCATTTTGGCTCTGCTGTGAAACGTGATGCATCAGCTTGGACAAAGTCCTTGATTTCTCTGAGTTACGGTCTCCTTCTCTGGAACACAGGGGAACTCTTCAAGTCACAGAGAAGTGTGCAAGTCAAATGTTATGCATTTACAATCCATATTTTAAACAGCAAAGCACTGCACAAATGTGATTTTTCCCTCAAAGGTAGGAGGGGACTGGGGGCCCCCTGAGGGTCCCAGATAGCATTGGTGTGTCCTGTCTGTGACCTTCTCCAGCCAATGATTGTGACTTTGTTTGTTCTGATGGTGCAAATTACTCCCTTTTTCTTTGCTAGATGACAAAATTGTTTGCTGGATCATAAGAAATACATTTTTTGTGTAGCAGGGCCTAATGCACGGTCAATTGGTTTTTGTATCCTTAAAGCCAGCTTCTATTTAAATACCAAACTTCCATATTCAAAAGCAGACACATAGATAAACAAACTAAGCTTGCTTTATTTTATGTCTCTTTCATGTCTCAAGGGTCTTTCCCTCCTGACCATATAAGAGAACTCTGGATAAACACTTCCTAGAGCCCCCTCATGCCATCCATTGTTTTAAGTCACTTCAGTCTTGTCTGACTCTTTATGACCATTTGGGCTGTAGCCCACCAGCCTCCTCTGCCCATGGGATTCTCCAGGCAAAAATACGAGAGTGGGTTGCCATGCCCTCTTCCGGACCCAGGGATCGAAACTGTGTCTCTATGTGTCCTGCATGGGCACGCAGACTCTGTACCACAGTGCCACTTGGGACACCTCATGCCCTCTATTAAATCGATTTAAATTCAAAATAGCTGAGTGTGGGGGAGGTTGGCTTCTTCTCCCTGTGTAAAGCCTCTGAAGTTTCTAATCCTTGATTACCAATCCTATCACCTATGTCAATTTTACACTTTTTTCATTGATTTCTTAAAATCTTGATCTTGGCAAAAATACTGAGCTATTCCTGGGGCAGCATTAGCCTTTAGTTTGGGGTTTTTCCTGAGGAGAAGCCCTTCTCAAAGTCATCTCCCCAGCCTGCCTCTGCTCGTCTCAGTCTCAGACGCGAGGGGCTGGCAGAGCGGGCAAATTACAACCAGAAGGGGTGCATGGGGACCTTTGCCTTCTGAAGGCTTCTGTCTGAGACCAGTGGTGTCCCCAGCGTAAACTGGTACCTGTGACTTCTTCACTTTTCTTCCTTCCTTGCAGGCCCAGAACTGCCTCACTAAGTTATACAAGCTAGATAAGATGCAGTTCCGACAAACCATGAGGGATTATGTGAACAAGGACTCTCTCAATAACGTAGTGGACTTCTTGCATGCTTTGCTAGGATTTTGTATGGAGCCGGTCACTGACAGTAAGTAAAGCTGGGCCGAGTTCTGGGAGAAATCGCTGCCAGGTGAAGCAGGTAGTGTTTCTGAGACACCCTAAATCTGTGGTAATAGAATGGAGAGGAAAAGATATATGTTCTGTGTGTGTGTGTGCATGCATGTGTGAGTCCTGTGTGTAGTAAAATATAAATGAGAGAAGCTTGCCCATCATCTCTGATGATACATTTTGGAGGCTTTTTGAGGACAGCTTAACTCTCAGCAAATGGGAACTCAACTCGGTAAAGCCATGACATCCTCACCTGTAGTGCCACCAGCCTCACACGATGCTCACAGCACGCCTCTGTCTCAGGAGACTTTGTTGTATGACTGCTGAGGCAAGGATCAAGGAACAAAAGAATATTTTCATTAGTTCAACAAAAGGAAGTGAGCACCTTTTACATGCTTGGTGATTTTTTCACAACATAAAATAGGAAAAAGAAAAAATGACTGCAGTAAGCATAGTAGTAATGTAACTTTGATATACATGTAGCCTGAATTAAAAACAAACAAACAAAAACGGAAAAGGGATCTACAGATAGGCCCATAAACTATAGCTTTATGGTTTTAAGAAAACTCCATCATAGAGCCCTATATTACAGGGATAGACCAATGAACACAAGTGGCATCCACAATAAATGAACACTTTCAATACCACTTGAATACAAATGCAGTAATGAAATGAAGGTGATGCATGAAGCCTGAATTGAGCAAAATACACATTTTAATTTAAAGCCTGGGAAGAAACATCTTTTTAGTATAGGTTTTTATGGTTTATATAGTATTAATGTGATAGTGGTTGATTAGATTACAATGGAGCTGTATTTGATGGATTTAGAAAGTTTTTCTGTTTGTACCCAGGCTTTATTGTTTGGTTTTCACATTAAAGGGAAATATTGTTCCCCTATAGATTCCCTGAAATAATCTATGTTACTGAAGTTGCTTTAATCCAAGCACATAACAAATCTGAGAAACAATGATGTAAGAATTGGAGTTGAGATTCTACAAGAGAAATTCTTGATTGCATTTTTTTCTCTTTTTAAACCTATTTGAGATAGAAATTATAAGATCAGACTAAGACATTTCTTTCTGTAATGTAAAGTCTAAAGATAACCCACGGCCCTTTGATACAGACAGTGAGAGGTTAGTCGTAAAGTATGTAATCAACACTTTAAAGTATTGGATTCCCACTGAGATTCTTGAGAAGGTTAAGTGGCTCATAGTGAATCATCCAGCAGATGCACACATTCCTGTCTAATCTGTCTTGAAGCTTCAGGTAACTGGCCCCTACAGTCCACAGGTGGCTTGCAAGCTTGCAATACTCTGGCAAGTCCACAGAACACCTGAAGCGTCCATGGAAATGGGAAAAACTGGCATAAAGTGCCACAGTGGGTAATGGCCTCAGATCACTGGCATTTCATGTGTGAATGAGTTAGGAGGTGGCTCCAGGAGAGGTTGTAGATTTTTTCTAATTTATATGCCTGTGGAGTCTCTGGAAGCAAGAAGCTGCTAGAAGTCTTGTATAGCTTTTGTCCAGAACTCAGTCTCATTTTTGGTTTCTGGGGCTGGTGTTAATTCCCCTCCAGGGCCCTGTCTCATCTCTCCCCTCCACTGCCCACTCACCTAGTTGGCCCTACCTCACTCCCCTTCTCACAGACTGAACAATTTCCGCTGGGAAACCAGCATTCATCACCACCAAAAAAGGCAAATCAAGGCTGTCTCCATTGAAGGACCACTTAGTAAATAACCTTTTTTAAAAAATTATTGTCTATCTAAACACTACTTAGGTTTAAAAAATTTTCTTAGGGTCAACAGTTGTCCTCTTTTTGTTGCTAAGATTTATTGACAAAAACATCCACTAAGTGATGGGATATGCCATAGTAATAGCCCTGAAGGAGATTATGAGCTATTTATCTCTAAGTCCTCCCTCACAGAGATGATCAAATCTGGAGTGTCTTCGATCCTCTGGTTCTGTATTTTTTGTGTGTGCATGCTCAGTTGCTTGGTTATGTCTGACTCTTTGCAGCCCTGTAGACTGCAGTCCACCAGGCTCCTCTGTCCATGAAATATTCAGACAAGAATACTAAAGTGGGTTGCCAATATTTTGTGTAGCCCTTCACTAACTCCTGGATGCCAAGTATTTCATTACTTCTTTTTTTTTTTTTTTATAGTTAATGCAAACTTTATTTATAAAATTGTATCTGAAAGGAAACACTGCCTTTAATTGGTGCCTTTGCATTCCAGACAAGGCTGGGTTCGGAAATAACTTCACCACGGTGGACAACAAATCCACAGCCCAAAATGTGGAAGGCATTGTCGTCAGCGCAATGTTTAAATCCCTCATCACACGCTGTGCTTCAACTACTCATGAACTACACAGCCCTGAGAATCTGGTGAGATACCTTTTCCTCCCACAGGAGTTCTCAGTCTTATGCCATGACCTTGAGAAAGAGAAGTTGAAATCTAAAACTATAAAGTTAAAATATCTATGTATTTTCCCAGTGTCACCAGCAACTCACAGTAGAAACCCAGCAATACCTTTCTCCTCCCTGTCACTTGTCATCATAGCTGCAAATAGACTTAGCTCTTCCATCTCAGAGGTTCTGTGGTAGTTAGTGAAATAGTTGCCAGGTATTTTGAGCCCTTCAGAAAGAAGGTACTAGAGCCCAGCGTGTTGGCTTGTGAAATACTAAAGAGTGTTATACCAAGCTTTTGTTTGAAACCGCATTTACTTTATAACTAATTCAGATATGCTGCTGAAATGGGTTTTGTCTTTTTTTTATCAAACACTGATCTTTTAGCTACACTTCACAAAAGACTGTGTTAATTAAATCACCAAGGCCACAAGTAGAGAGTGCCAGGTTTTAAAAGATTAGTGTTTATCGCTGCCAAGAAGATTGTGGTTTGGGATAGTAAAATATAGATGAAGACTGACACATCTGATATGACTAAATGAATTCAGGTCTCTCAGAGGAGTAAAGAATCATTTCTGTATCTTACTAATCTGTTAGCTATACTGGCTCCTATGCAGAAATCAGCTCATTGACATATATGGCCACTATCTGCTAATCTACTTAAATCAGAGAAATAGTTTTAAGTTATTCTAAATCATTGAAACTGTGTATTCACTTGAGATAAACAGAACAAAACCCTGAATGAAAAGGAATTGATTTTGCTGATTGTCAAGCCTCTCAACAAGGTTCTCGGAGGTTGAGAATAACTTGCATACCATCCAGGTGTTCAGTTTGGTCATGGCAAGAAGTAATTTGACAAGTGGATTATAGTATATGTGAGCGCTTATAAGTCTTACCCGGCATGCACATGTATAGAAGAAATACTACATTTCTTAATTTTATTTAAATCAATTTAAATTTGGCTTTGAACCTCCATTCCACCAGAATGGCTAGAAGTTGAATCTCAGTCATTCTTGGGTCTCCCAACTTCAGAGAGTAGGGCAAATATTCTCAAGTCTTAGGCAGGACCCAGGGCTTGTGGTGAGGCTCCATGGGCTTCAAACATCAGTTATTTCTGTTAGTTCACATGGTGCTCTCTGCTGCTAAGGGATGGGCACTCTGGTGAATGTGGAACCCTTGCTTTTTGGAGTCTTGCCTTCCATGGAGGAGCTAGCACGTTGCAGAGTGAGAGCATAAGGCCGTCTTCTCACAGGACCAAAAGGATACCTTATGTTTTCCTCAGTGGCCCTTCCTTCTGCTTTTCTAAAGATTGCGGGCATAACTGTCCCAGTGGTCTTAGATTTTGAAGCCCAAAGCTCTAAGGTGTTTTTTTAGGCTTCTGTGTTCTTCTTTGTTATCAACCTTTCCTAAGAAGAATATACTAACTACCTTCTTAGAGAAGACAGATGGTGAAATGCTGAATGCAAAGCTTAATACCTTAAAAAAAAAAAAAGTCCTGCATTAAATGTTGAATCACTAATACGTTGGTTTTAATAGCCTTGTATCTTGTAAGTCTATAGTCAAGTTCATGCTCAAATGGTCTACAGCATACATATTATTTGTTAAGACTATGTAGAAAAATGTATCATCCTTGAATGTAAGGCTCTATTAGAATTGTCTAGAAGGTTTAGCATAATTTATCACAGTGATGCTGAAAATTTGGAGAAGTTGAACAGCAAATGAAATCTGTAATCTAGACAAAATTCTGATTCCCTTATTTTTGCAGGCATCTAAGAGTAGTCCCAAGAGACATAATTAAAAGTTTGGAGATTCAGTTGTTATAAAAGTATAAACTGATGTCTTTCTAATATCACAGCCAACTTTCTAAATATGTAGCGTGGTGACCATCCTTTTTCATACTAAGAATGACAGGCAAGATTTTTGGTAATGTTACCATAGGAACAGTGGAGGGACAGGATACTATTAGTTGCACTGTAGTAATTTGTCTTCCTTTTATGATCCCAAGGCTCATCTAAGTCCAAGGAATTCCCTTCCACCCCTCTTCCTATGAATATTCTTCAAAGACACAACTATCTTTCTTTTCCCACACTTTCCTTCTGGCCTCCAAATAGGGGCTGTATTGTGACATCCGTCAGCTGGTCCAGTTTATCAAGGAGGCCCATGGGAATGTCTTCAGGAGAGTGGCCCTCAGCGCTTTGCTTGACAGTGCTGAGAAGTTGGCACCAGGGAAAAAGGTGGAGGAAAATGAACCGGAATCTAAGCCTGGAAGAGGAAAAAGGTTGGAAGCTTGGGCTCTCTGAATATGAGGGTTTGCCCAGTCTGTAGAATATAATGTCCTGTTGTATTGTTTCATGATGTGAAATTCCAGGGCAGGGATGAAGGACTGTCCTGTATGAGTGATACCACTGGCAGTGGCCCAGCTGCAGCTTAGAAAGCGGATGAGTTTCCTGTCAAACAAATGCTGCCTCTATATGCATCAGAGCTCAGTTGATCCCGAGCTTTCATCCACTGGAACCTTACTTCATAGCTCTTACTTATATGGTAAAATGTTATCCATGTTTTAGTCCCTTCAATAGGTATAACTTATATTTTTTGTCCAGAAAGAAAAAGCAATTACTGATACCACATCATTCTGTTTAGTAAGTAATATTTTTAACATAGTGAAAAGATAAACAGCTGAGACATGTCCAATTATGTTTTATTCTAGTAAACATGAATTTAAGCGCTTTGCAGGTGGCTTAGTAGTAAAGATTCTGCCTGCCAATGCAGGAAACGTGGGCTCACTTCCTGGGTCAGGAAGTTCCCCTGGAAAAGGAAATGGCAACCAATTCCAGTATTCTTGCCTCGGAAATTCCATGGACAGAGGAGCCTGGCAGGCTATAGTCCATGGGGTCATAAAGAGTTGGACATGACTTAGTGACTAAACAACAAGAAGCAGAGTTTATTGTATGCCTATTCTATAAGAAATGTCACCTATGAAGATTAAAAGAGATGCCTCAATCTAACACCCTGCCTGCAGTTACTGCCTGTGTGTGCAATGATGCTATTGTAGTGTTCTTAGGCAATAATGCAGCTAGGTCATAAGTTAAATGGTAGGAAATAAATTCCATAGCAACATAGACTTATGATGATATAGGGGGTGTGCAGTCCATTTAGGTTGTCTGTAACAGTGTTTTGCTTTATGAAGTCTATGAATTATGAGAAGTGGTGTCCTGCTCTGCTGTGATTGGTGGAATGCACCATTTGCACAGGTCAGAGGCGGGAAGCGTGGTGGATAAAGGCCAGGTGACTGCCGCACCTGAGGAATGCCGCAGCTTCATGTCCGGCCGCCCCTCACAGACTCCAGAGCAGTAAGTAAAATTAGCTTTGTCTCCAATGCAATGGGCTGAGCACTTCCCCCTGGAAGAAATTCTATTTTCCAAGCTGCTATTTGCTTTTCCTTTCTGTTGAACTTCTCCTTGCTTCCGCCCTTTACTTTTCATTCCCGTGCAACTTATCTCTACAGGCTCAAATCACAAGTAATCAGCTTCATGCTTCCAGGAAGCCTCCCTCACTGCCTTTCCTATTTCCAGCCTCTACTCTACTTCTGTCTTCCATGCACAATCTTGCAGGTAAATCTTGAAAAGGAGCATGTATAGCAGGTGCAAGGGCGATGTCATCCACTTTCTTGCTTAAAATATCCCTTAGAAATAACTTACAACTGTCAATAATTGAAGCTTTATCCAGAAATATGTAAGATAATCTTCTCTTATGTCCAGCTTTACCTGAAACAGACTCATCCATTTCATCTTGGTTCTCTCCAGAGATCCACTCCAGTGCCTCTGTTATCAATTTATTTCCACTTTTGATAATGGCAGTATCAAAAGCATCATGAAAATAGGGCACCCAGAAAATGTTAGGATTACTGTAGAAACGAAATACAGTCTAGTTCTATGCAAGACTCATTTGTATTCATTCTTCTTTTGAGACCTATTTACTCATAAGTGATGTTGATCAATACTTAAAATATGATCCTTTTAGTATGCCATTCTGTCTCCCAAAACCATTATTTAGTACAAAATGATTGTTCTTCCAGAAATTCTGTAGGGGATTCTGGGTTTTATGGTATCCCCTCTGTACAGTCAAGGAAGTCATGTCATCACATAGGACCCTGGCAACCCACAGCAAGCAAGCAAAACCTTTAAGGAACAAAAAGCCTGCACAATTCTTACAGCCCTTCAAAATTTTAGAAACTGCCCCTAAAATGAGTGGGTAAAAGTAGTTCAGTTGCTTTGTTGTGTCCAACTCTTTGCAACCCCATGGATTGCAGCTTGCCAGGCTTTCCTGTCCATCACCAATTCCTGGAGCTTGCTCAAACTCTTGTCCATCGAGTCAGTGATGCAAATAAAGAGAAGGTAAATCAACTCTATGGGTCCAGAGACCATATGAGTTTTTACTTAACCACTACAGCCCCAATGCCTCAATAGGCCTTGCTGGGTCCATAGTAGGCTCTTAATATATATGAAGAATGAATGTATGACAGTCAATGAAAGGATGGACTTCTCGAATTACTGTTAAGCCTTTGTCTTCTTTAATTTCTATTCTCAAAATTGAAGTTTAGTTTTTCCTTTAAAGAAGTTTTTAAGGACACAGTAAAAAATCCAAACTTAAGTTCTAAGGGGGAAAAAAAAAACCGTGAAAGGCAAATTTCCTTTCAGGGAATTTTCCCTGAAAGGCAAAGATGTGTCTGTAGCTGAATAACCAACCACAAGACTAGTTAAAAGTCCTTACATATGGAATCTATCCAAAAAAAATGAGAGAGGGCTTTTTTTTCCAAATAACACTAACAACTATTGAGTTAATCTGAACAAGAAGAATGATTTAATAGGTTAACTAGATTTAAAACATAAAACTATCTACCTTGATAGGTGATTTAGTTTTCTCAGTTGCAAATACTCTCTTTCTGTGGTTCTGCAAATACTACCTGATTTCTTCGCATCTAGCACGTGTCTATTCTCTCCCTTGAGGAAAGATACATGTTTTAATATGCCTCTACATAACAATTTCCACTTGGAGGGATGTCGTAGAATGTCAAGTATGGGAATTTTCCCTGATCCAAGTGGGCCCAGGAGATGAGCTGCCACGTGTCCTCGTGTTTAGCACTGAAGAAAGGTAGGTGGGTAATCCTGGCTCCTACTCTGCCTTCACTTTCTCTCTGTTCCCCTTCCCTGCCTTTCATACCCTTTGCTCCTCCGTTTTCCCTCTTAAAAATCACATTAAAAATTCCCTCTTAAAAATCAAATGAGTGATATTAAAAGCAGTTCTATGTGCCCATTTCTCAGAAACTCATGATTGATACATACCCTTTAGACAAAGCTGATTTGGCACTTTATTATAAAGCTGATCAATTATAGCTTCCCTGGACATTTCCCCACTCAGGCCACATGGTCAATATGCTCACCATTGTGTCACAGATTCCCCGGAGGTAAAAAATGCTTCATACACTTGTGAGCATTTGATAAAATAACCGGGAAGTCAAATTCGGAAACACTGATTTAAATTCACACTGTAGGGCTTCCCTGGTGGCTCAGATGGTAAAGAATCCACCTGTAATGTGGGAGACCTGGGTTCGATCCTTGGTTTGGGAAGATCCCCTGGAGGAGGGCATGGCAACCCACTCCAGTGTTCTTGCCTGGAGAATCCTCATGGACAGAGGAGTCTGGTTGGGTTATAGGCCGTGGGATCGCGAAGAGTTAGACATGACTGAGCGACTAAGCGCCACAATATTTGAGAAACAGAATGTCCTGAATGAAAATAATAAATAAAGATTTTGGGCTTCCCTGGTAGCTCAGTGTTGAAGAATCTGCCTGCCAATACAGGAGACAAGGGTTCGATCCCTTATCTGAGAAGATCCCACATGCCACGGGGCGACTAAGCCTGCGCACCACAGCTTCTGAGCCTCACGCGCTGGAACCCAGAAGATTAACTGCTGAGCCCAGCACTGCAGCTACTGAAGGCTGTGTGCCTCGAGTCCATGCTCCGCAATGAGAGTAGAAATCGCGATGAGAAACCCTCCACCGCAACTGGAGAGCAGCCCTCACAGCAGCAAAGACGAGCACGGCCAGAAATAAACACATAAAATTATTTTCAGAATGATCGTGAAAGGTTTTACTACTCTCATGATGCTTTGAGAGAGAAAACCTGCATCCCTATATAAATATCCCCAGAAAACAATTTTCTTTATACAGTATCAAATTTTAGGTAGATTCCAGGCTTAACCCCAATGCTTATCAATAAATCATTACCTAAAACCCTCCAAACAAATTTCATCATATGTTACTATTTTCTCTAACCTTTTCTTTCCAAATGACTGAAGTCATATATGTTGATCAAGTTGCCAAATGTGGAAAACACACACACAAAAAAAAGAAAAATAATTTTAATATCAAAATACCTTCAACTAGAGATAACCACTGTCAACATTTGGTATATTATGCTGAATACAAATTTGAGCATGTGTACACACAAGTTTGCACACAGACACATAATCACATGTGTGCTTCTTTAAAAATAATTAAACTGATGATAACCTGCTTAATCCATTTATTTGACTACTGCCTTTTAATTTAACAGTATATCGTGAACGTGCCCCATTTCGTTAGTCTTATGAAAATAGCATTTTAATGACTACAGAGGGTGCCATCATATGGAAGTCCCACAATTTCTTCGACTCTTTTCCTAGAATTGAATATTGAAATTTTTTCCAGTGTTTTGACATTGGCCCAAAATCTCAGTGAGCATCTAACCTTCTTATATGTACATCTTAGTATATTATTCCATCATTTCCTGGGGATAACTTCCGGGAAGTTGAATTTCTGTGTCATTGTTGTAACTATAGGCTTTACATCACATATTACCAAATTACCTTCCAGAAAGGTTGAATCATTATATCTCACCCTGACTGTATCATAGTACCCTTGCTTTCTCTCCATTTCCCTACCCCTTCTTAATCTTTGTCCTTTTAATGAGTGAAAATAGGGATCTGATTTCAACTGACCCTTTTTTTGTTAATACCTAATGAAATTAAACTCTGTATTACCATTGGCCACTTGTCTTTCTCCTCTTGTGAAATGCCCTAGTCAAAAATCCCTTTGGCAATGTTCCCATTTGTCTTATTAAGTCAGACTAAACTTTTTTTTTTTACTTTTAAGCCTTAAGATTCTTTCACATAAAAAAGCTAAATAATCAGGGATCATAAAAATAACAGTGAAAAATTATGATGCATTCCCTGGGTGTGGTGATTGTATTTTATTTATTCATTCATTCAAATATTTTTATGAGTTTATTTAGGGCCAAGAATTATATGGTCCTGGGGTGGAGATGGGCGTAGGATATGGTACTACACACTGCTCAGGGAACTTCAAAGAAAAAGTTAAATATTTACTGACACTGTAAGTGTTTTTTTATGACCCACACTCACAGACGATTACCTGCAATAATATTTAGTCTTACATTATGGTTGAAACAAATTGATGTCCTCAACTTGACAGCTGAGCTGTAACTATTTTCAGGAAGAACTCAGGGAGTCACGCTGGGTCTTCCTCCTCCCATTCCCACTCTGCCCCTTGCTAATCCCAGCCCATCACAGGTCATCTTGCATGATTTGCCTCCATATCACTGACAGGAGGTTGAAAGAGATTTAAGAGACTTTCACATGTGCTGTCAGACATTTAACCATCCCCTCTGCCTGCTTTCAGCGATGAACAAATGCAAGGGGGAAACCTGGGGCGAAAAGATTTCTGGCGCAAGATGTTCAAATCCCAGAGTGCGGCAAGTGACACCAGCAGCCAGTCTGAGCAAGACACTTCAGAATGCACCACTGCCCATTCAGGGACCACCTCTGACAGGCGCGCCCGCTCTCGGTCCCGCAGGATTTCACTCCGGAAGAAGCTTAAACTTCCCATAGGTAAAAGTATGTCTTTTTTATTTTATGGATTCTCTTATTCCCTGCCATGTCCTCAAATCAGCTCATAATCAGAACAGAGCAATGCATGGGAAAGTAGAGAAAGGGAAAGCTTTCAAGTCACAAACATAGGGTGATTCATTCATTCCTTCATTCTTTTCAGCAGTTATTTCTCAAACCTTTATGTGAACTTCTAGGGTGCGCAAACCCTGTGCTAAACCTCAATGATTAAATGATGAGCAACATTTCACGGTGTCTGACTTTGCTCAACTTACAATCTATGAGGGGTGGCAACCACTGAAGCAGATCATTATGCAACAAAGTATAGTTGCAAGCTATGAATTTTATGAAGGAAATCTACATGGTGCTGTGAAAGCATGCAATAGCAAGACCCAGTCGCAATGGGAAGAGGAGGCAGAAATCAGGGAAGGCTTCCTGAAGGAGGTGACATTAATATCTGCAGAGTACTTGGGAGAAGGAGGAAGGAGAGCACTCCAAGTGGTAGCAGTGCAATATGCAAAGGTATTGGGAGGGAGGGACATGGAAGAACAGAGACAAGAGCGGCTGCATGACAGTGGTGGAGCCATAGAGACCAGAGTATTGTGGGCCTTGCAGGTCACTTGGCTCTTCATCTTTTAGCCCTACAGAGGCCAGATGGGATGTTGAACAGGGGGGTAACATAAGCCATAAGCAGGTAAATTTTTTTCTAGAAGATCACTGCATGGAAAACATACTGGAGGCAGCATGAGTGGATAAGGGACCAGAGACAAAGCTGCATTATGGTCCAAGTATAAGTAACAGTAGCTTAGACTGGGTGGTGACCATGTAGATGGAAAGAAATGGACATATTTGAGAGATATTTTGGAGGTAAAATCAACAGGACTTAATGGAAGATGTGAAATTTGACAAGGACTACATGGATTACACTTTTAATCACCCAAGAGGCCCAGGTTCTTTTTGTCCTGATCTGAGTCATGTGATCTTATAGTCCAACAGTGAATGTTTTTGTTCAAAGCATATACATTTTGAAAACAATTTTCGTTCACTTTTGTTTACATTGGGTCATGTAACTTTCATTGCTTTTTGGGCCTATGCTAACATTTTTGTCTAATCCATTTGGGAGAAAATGCTATAATGGTCTAATTTTGTAAAAAATTATTAACTAGGAAACTGGCTGAAACGCTCCTCCCTCTCGGGCTTGGCAGATGGAGTGGAAGACCTCCTGGACATCAGTTCTGTGGACCGCCTGTCTTTCATCAGGCAAAGCTCCAAGGTAAACAGGACGTTACTTATGTAAGGGAATGTTGTAGTCACTAATAGAAAAATGTCAGGGCTGAGAAGTGCTAAACACCTGGAGGGGCTGAAGAAATTCTTCAAGTTAAGTAAGTTTGGGGAACTTAAATGAATTATGGAAACTAAGATGTCTTAGTATTAGGCAATCATAGAAAGGAAAAAAGTGACAAAAATTTAAATAAAATTGTAACACAGCTATAAAGAGGTATATAGCTATTTGTGCTCGGCTCAGCTGTGTCTGACTCTTTGTGACCCCATGGGCTGTAAGCCCACCAAACTCCTCCATCAGTGAAATTTTCCAGGCAAATGTACTGGAGTGGGTCGCCATTTCCTCTTCCAGGGATTTCTGGGCCCAGGGTTCGAACTTGCGTCTCCTGCATTGGCAGGCAGATTCTTTACCACTGAGTCACCTGGGAAGCCCCATATAGATATTAATTCCCAGCTACTTTTAACACACATGTGAAATCCTCACATCTTGAGATCCTATCGAAGGACACGTAACTGTACAGTGTGTATATATTTCTTTTATACGCACACAGAGTTTATCTTTGTTCCCTCCTTTTTCTACCATCTGAACCATTCTCCCCATTGACCAGAATAAAGAAGTTCAGGGTAATTTTTCCCACTTCTGGCCTTCATCTGTTAAGCATTGTAGTAGCCTGCAGTTTGGAAAAGGTCATAACTCTTACTGAAAGCTATTTCTGATAAGAATCTTCCTTGTGACTGGTTCGTGGTCTGCTCACAGTAATTGTCAGCGTGTGATGGAAGTTACATTCCTTTATATAAAAATTATTTGCCTAAACTTTTTCTTCTTAGATCTCACTAAAACCAATTTTCTTCTATCTCTTTCAAAAATAATATTTTGAAATTAGAAAAAGAATATAGCAATATTATGAGACATTTAGAAGATATATTTGTAATTCCTCCTTCAAATTCTTTTTACTAAGAGTTGGCCAAGTATTTAAGAGTCTGTGAAGTATATAGCTTCTTTACTTTGTTGTAAACAAACACATTTTAAGCATTAGGGGGGAAAGCATGTTATTGCACTTTAATTATAGAACACCTTGTGGATCCATTTTTACTGATTCTTGCATAGAGATTTGAAATCTTCTATTTGGCTATCTTTTACTTTCATCTGATTCTCAGCTGTGGTGTTTTTTTATAAAGGATGAATAAGACTAGTTCATAAATCTGAGTTTGGACTTTAGCAGAATTAAACTCTAAGAATATCTCAATTGTTTACTAAACTATTTTCACAGTGCCCAATTATTTTATTTTCAATCTATGACCAAGACTCTCCTTCAAAGTATAGTTGTAAGTGATATCTTTTTTGGTACATGGAACTAAACTCTACAGATATGGAGATAAACCAGATATGGAAATCTGAAGAAATGAAGTGACCTTTATATTACAAAATTACTTTTCAAGGTAAAGGTTCATTCCAGTCACTAAGTCATGTCCGACTCTTTGCGACCCCATGAACCCCAGCATGCTAGGCCTCCCTATCCATCATCAACTGCCAGAGTCTACCCAAACCCATATCCATTGAGTTGGTGATACCAGCCAACCATCTCATCCTCTGTCCCCTCCTCCTCCTGTCCTCAATCTTTCCCGGCCTCGGGGTCTTTTCAAATGAGTCAGCTCTTCACATCAGGTGGCCAAAGTATTGGAATTTCAGCTTCAACATCAGTCCTTCCAATGAACACCCAGGACTGATATCTTTTATGATGGACTAGTTGGATCTCCTTGCAGTCCAACGGACTCTCAAGAGTCTTCTCCAACACCACAGTTCAAAAGCATCAGTTCTTCGGTGCTCAGCTTTCTTTAGTCCAACTCTCACATCCATACATGACTGCTGGAAAAAGCATAGCCTTAACTAGACAGACCTTTGTTAACAAAATACTGTCTCTGCTTTTTAATATGCTGTCTAGGTTGGTCATAACTTTCCCTCCAAGGAGCAAGTGTCTTTTAATTTCATGACTGTAATCACCATCTGCAGTGATTTTAGAACCCCCAAATATAAAGTCAGCCACTGTTTCCACTGTTACCCCATCTATTTGCCACAAAGTGATGGGACCAGATGCCATGATCTTAGTTTTCTAAATGTTGAGCTTTAAGCCAACTTTTTCACTCTCCTCTTTCACTTTCATCAAGGGGCTCTTTAGTTCTTCACTTTCTGCCATAAGGGTGGTGTCATCTGCATATCTGAGGTTATTGATATTTCTCCCAGCAATCTTGATTTCAGTTTGTGCTTCCTCCAGCCCAACATTTCTCATGATGTACTCTGCATATAAGTTAAATAAGCAGGGTGACAATATACAGCCTTGACATACTCCTTTTCCTATTTGGAACCAGTCTGTTGTTCCATGTCCAGTTCTAACGGTTGCTTCCTGATCTGCATACAGGTTTCTCAAGAGGCAGGTCAGGTGGTCTGGTATTCCCATCTCCTTCAGAATTTTCTACAGTTTATTGTGATCCATACAGTCAAAGCCTTTGGCATAGTCCATAAAGCAGAAATAGATGTTTTTCTGGAACTCTCTTGCTTTTTCGATGATCCTGCAGATGTTGGCAGTTTGATCTCTGGTTCCTCTGCCTTTTCTAAAACCAACTTGAACATCTGGAAGTTCACGTATTGCTGAAGCCTGGCTTGGAGAATTTTGAGCATTACTTTACTAGCGTGTGAGATGGGTGCAATTGTGCGGTAGTTTGAGCATTCTTTGGCATTGCCTTTCTTTGGGATTGGAATGAAAACTGACCTTTTCCAGTCCTGTAGCCACTGCTGAGTTTTCCAAATTTGCTGGCATACTGAGTACAGCACTTTGGCAGCATCATCTTTTAGGATTTGAAATAGCTCAACTGGAATTCCATCACCTCCGCTAGCTTTGTTCGTAGTGATGCTTCCTAAGGCCCACCTGACTTCGCATTCCAGGGTGTCCGGCTCTAGGTGAGTGGCAGTGATTACATCTTCATGATTATCTGGGTCATGAAGATCTTTTTTGTACAGTTCTTCTGTGTATTCTTGCCACCTCTTCTTAATATCTTCTGCTTCTGTTAGGTCCATACTATTTCTGTCCTTTATTGAGCCCATCTTCACATGAAATGTCCCTTGGTATCTCTAATTTTCTTGAAGAGATCTTTAGTCTTCCCCATTCTATTGTTTTCCTCTATTTCTTTGTATTGATCGCTGAGGAAGGCTTTCTTATCTCTCCTTGCTATTCTTTGGAACTCTGCATTCAGATGGGTATATCTTTCCTTTTCTCCTTGGCTTTTCGCTTCTCTTCTTTTCACAGCTATTTGTAAGGCCTCCTCAGACAGCCATTTTGCTTTTTTTTTTTTTTGCATTTCTTTTTCTTTGGGATGGTCTTGATTCCTATCATCTCCTGTACAATGTCACGAACCTCCATCCATCTATCAGATCTAGTCCCTTGAGTCTATTTCTCACTTCCGCTCTATAGTCATAAGGGATTTTATTTAGGTCATACTTGAATGGTCTAGTGGTTTTCCCCACTTTCTTCAGTTTAAGCCTGAATTTGGCTTAAGGAGTTCATGATCTGAGCCACACTCAGCTCCTGGTCTTGTTTTTGCTGGCTGTATAGAGCTTCTCCATCTTCGGATGCAAAGAATATAATCAGTCTTATTTCAGTGTTGACCATCTGGTGATGTCCATGTGTAGAATCTTCTCTTGTGTTGTTGGAAGAGGGTGTTTGCTATGACCAGTGCAGAACTCTATTAACTTTTGCCCTGCTTCCTTCTGTACTCCAAGGCCAAATTTGCCTGTTACTCCAGGTGTTTCTTGACTTCCTACTTTTGCATTCTAGTCCCCTATAATGAAAATGACATCTTTGGGGGTGTTAGTTCTAGGAGGTCTTGTAGGTCTTCATAGAACCATTCAACTTCAGCTTCTTCAGCATTACTGGTTGGGGCATAGGCTTGGATTACCGTGATATTGAATGGTTTGCCTTGGAAACGAACAGAGATCATTGTGTCGTTTTTGAGGTTGCATCCAAGTACTGCATTTCAGACTCTTGTTGACTATGATGGCTACTCCATTTCTTCTAAGGTAAAGGTTAGTATAAGCACAAAGAATTTCTTTTGAGTTGAGTTACCTGACTTCTTGTTTTTTTCTTAGGTCAAATTCACCAGTGCCGTGAAGCTTTCTGAAGGTGGGCCAGGGAGTGGAATGGAAAATGGAAGAGATGAAGAAGAAAATTTCTTCAAGCGTCTTGGTAAAAATCATTTGACCTAAGAATTGCATGCAACTTCCATTACATGAAACAAACATTTGGTTAGATTAAATGATCTACTTTATATTTTCCTTGATTTCTTAATAATTTTTTCCTCATAAGTATGTTGCTTGCATTACTCTTCACTAAGTCATGCCTGACTCTTTGTGACCCCATGGACTGCAGCCTGCCAGGCTTCTCTGTCCATAGGATTTTCCAGGCAGAATACTAGAGTGGATTGCCATGTCCTACTCCAGGGGAGCTTCCCAACCCAGGGATCGAACCCGCATCTCCTGGATCTCCTGCATTGACAGGAGGATTCTTTACCACTGCGCCACGTGGCAAGCCCTACCCTTTAAATAGAGATGTATATACATATGTCTCTATCTGTTAACCATTTGGTTCAACTTATATTAGTGGAGGTTCTACTGTGTTCCTCATTCCCTAGTGGGCCCTGGATTTACAAAGAATAAGGCACAGGCTTTTCTTCTGCTGTTCTGTCCATTATTAAAAATCTAAGAGCTTTAAAGAACCTTCAGATATCCTTTTATCCACCCACCATCTACTTAGCAATTCTGCACAGTAAATCCCTGACAGGTGGCCAGCCACCCTCTGAGCACTTCCACCAAGGGGAAGCTTATGACTGTACAAAGCAATCTGTTCCAGAACTAGACAGTTTTCATTGTTAGAAAGACTTTCCTTATATTCTGAAAATATACTTATCCATACTTTTGACTCACTGGTCTAGTTTTGTTATCTCTAGGCAGGCCCCCCCCGCCGCCATACACACTTATACACTCATCATACACACATTGCTAGTTTCACCTATTATCTATTTCATGTTCTCTCTTTTGGTCTCACTTCTGCTGGTTAAATATTGTTGGTTCATTTTGTTTTCCTTACATAGAAACGTCTCTAGATCTATCACCATCCCAATTCTATTTTACTATGTACCATAATTAGATGATATGCTTTACAAAATGGGGTGCTTCAGATGGAATGTAATACACTATATTTGACTTTAATCAGTGTAATAGATAGTGTAACTGTTAATCTCCAGGGGTATAACTAGTAGATGAACACAATTTAAGACCGCATTGTATGTTTTCACATCACAGAGTTGGTTTGTGTTGAATTTGGGATTAGCCTTTGCCTGTTGTCCTTTACATGAATGAATATCATGTATTATTTCAATGTAGCTATTATTAATTCTTCATCTCAGAATAAATAATATGTATTGTTTCATTAATATGAAGGGTAGTTAAGTCACTTATCCAGGAAGGAAGTTAAGAGATAGAACCCAAAACAAGTTAAATTCTGAATCTTCTGTACAATTGTGCTATAAAAATCCATCAGCAGGGATGTCCCTGGTGCTCAGGTGGTTAACTCTCCACTCTCCCAATGCAGAGGGCATGGGTTTGATCCTTGGTTGGGGAACCAATATCCTGCATACTGCAAAAATCCACCAGCAGAGACATACACATTTCCCTATTTTCATCCAAGTTGTTGATATTATTACTAAACAGGAAAATACCAAAAAAAAAAAAAAAAAAAAACAAAAACCCACACAGCTCCTAGAATACATATAGTTGACTTTTATTGATTAACGACTTGTGGCTACAGTTTTCAGCCAATGATACATTTAATATACTAGTGATCAGCAAGAACTTTTCCCACATTATTACAAAAACATCATCAGACTTTACCAAAAAATTATCTCACTGATACCTTTATAACTCTGTCAAAAGGAGGAAAGTAATTTAGTTTAACATGATATTTTCTTCACGAAACCAAGTGGTTCCTATGTGTTTTTTGTTTTGTTGTGTTTTGTCTTTTTAGTGATCCTCTCTATCTAATTCTCTCTTACAGAATTTGGCTAGGCATACATACATCAAGAGGCTTCCCAGGTGGTGCTAGTGGTAAAGAACCTGCCTGCCAATGCAGGAGATGTAAGAGATGTAAGCATTGGGGGGAACCCCTCTTAGGTTGGGAAGATCCCCAGGAGGAGGGCATGGCAACACACTCTGGTATTCTTGCCTGGAGAATCCCGTGGACAGAGGAGCTGGGCAGGCTACAGTCCATAGGGTCATAAAAGGTCAGGTCTGAGGTTTCAAGAATCTTCCTACTAATTGGGAACTTTGTCATTTTCAGTCCTCTTGCACTCTTTCCACTCATATTTCAGAGAAGATACATCTAATGTTCAAAGTTGTTAGTATTATAAACAGATTTTTGTGGTGGTTGTTTGAGAAGGAAGTGTGGAGCTAAAGTACATTTTCTAATGTGTGCTGTGTTAGCTGGATGTCATTTGACTAGTACTGTGATTGCATCTTCAAGTCCTTTCTGTGCACTGGAGTGTAATTTGATGGAATTGAGACCTAACCTCAGAGATTTGGGACTCTCACATTTGTTGCCTTCTTAATGAAGCTTTTCTGTACTTTCCCATTTGTGAATTTTTCTCTTTAGTAGAAAAGAAGAAAGCACGATTGAGTTGTTTATCCTCCTTTGAGTTGTTTATCTCCCTTCCCTTCTTCAAGTAGTAGGTCAGTATTTTTATTCTTATTCTTATTCCAAATGTGTTATCATTAGTCTTGCTCATGCACCTTAGTTTCTTCTGGATTTTGTGTTTTTCTCACCACTGTTCCTACAGACATCAGCCATTGTTTCACATACTCTTTATACTTCATTCATAAATAGAAAAGACCTGATACAAAATATTCACACATCCTGAGTCTAGGGTGGAGTTTGTGTCAACAGTACCCATAGTACAGTCTCTACCTGTGTGTCTAGAAGACAAAATGATAAAAATTTGGAACTGATTCTCGGATATTTAATGTGTTTTTGACTGAGAAAAGAATATGGTTTGTACATCATCATTCTTTGTCCATAATCTCTGGCTTGTTAAAAATTTTTAAAGTATTCTTTGAGATAATTCTTTTGGAGTGTCTTGCAAAAGACACATATCCCCAGCTATTCTAAAAAATCAAAACATCATCTGCTCATCTGAGTACTTTGTATTTTGCAACAACTGCTATCCTTGATCTTGTAAACATCTTAATTTTGAACCTGCTTTTGCTGTTTATTTGTTTCTTTTCCTTTTTCTAATACTTTGAAATCTGTGAATAGATGATCACTGTGCATCCATTATAGATGCATTGTCCATTTCTTTCTCACTTAAATTACTTTAATTACCTATTTTCTCTGTTTCTTTAAAGTTGTTGAAGAAAACAAATACCAAACATTCTTATTCTCAGTTTCAATGTAGTACCCTAACTTTACTGGGTTAAGATAAAATGCAATACGTGGTTGAATTTTTTTAATCTAAGATTTTATTCAACAAATGAAAAATACATCTACTGAACATTTTACAGAACTGAAATTACATTCAGAGACTGGCCATCTTTTTATTCTATATTTTCCTATTTGCTAAAAATGTTTCATTTTAGAAATCATATTGTCTCTATTTGAAGGAAGATATTTCATTAACTAAAACAATGTTTTTTTTCCCCAACTGATCAGGAAAATTGACTGACTTCTTTGTGCTCAGCACTATCATGAATTGTATGGAAAATACTTTTTAAAGAAATACTAGATTTTGAAATGTCCTTTGAGATCTAGCAACCTTTTGGAAATGCATCCTATGTAAATTATACATCAGTTAATTTAATGTAAAAAATAGTAAATAAGTGTAACTAGAATGTATTGAGACTACAAGATTAATCATGATGGAGCAAGCCAAGAGGCATCCTTACATTAGTAAATGTATATAAAAAATTAAGAAGGAATAGGTACTTTTTTTTTTTAGGAATAGGTAAATTTTATAAGCAAATTACTTTTAATGTTTCTTTCAGTATCACAATATGAAAGGTCAACAGGGTACAACTAGTCTGTGATGCGTACAGTGTTGATTAATTTCTTACAGTAAATTTTCCTGACATAATCACAACCTTCAGCAGGATGTAAAAGTCTTCAACATAAACACTTGGGTATTCTAAAGACATAGCGTGGCCTGGTGGTAAGAGAACAGGCTGTTTGTTACTAGTTTGGATTTGAATTCTGACCTTATCACTTTCTGTTGTATGAACTTAAACAAGGTTAGTTCATCTGTCCCCCCTTTTATCTCTCTGTTTCTATTCTTTCTCATTCTCTCTCTTTTTAAAATCATTTTAAAGATCTATCTCATATAGCTGTTACAATTATACAATATTTCTCATACAGTACTTGGCACATACTAAGAGCTCAAAGAGCTTATATAACAATATAAATAATAAAATAATAAAAACAATAAATAACAAAATAATAAAACAAAAAAATAATAAAACAATATAAATATATTGTTTTCTATTAACACTTTATGGGCTTCCCAGCTGGCACTAGTGGTAAAGAACCTACTTGCCAATGCAGGAGACATAAGAGACACAAGTTCGATCCCTGGGTTAGGAAGATCCCCTGGAGGAGGGCATGACAACCCACTCAAGTATTCTTGCCTGGAGAATCTCATGGACAGAGGAGCCTGGTGGGCTACAGTCCACATGATCAGAAAGAACCAGACATGACTGAAGTGACTTGGCGCACAAGCACATTAATGCTTTATAGATACAATGGAAATTTTCCATTGTAAATAGCTTTTACTTATAGCATGATCCTTACATCCTGGACTTGTGGGGTTTTTACCAAGTGTGCATCGTCTGTGAATGCTTTTTCACAGAATAGGTTCTTACCAATGATTGTTTTGATCACTTCTGCTTTCATTATTTTATTTATACTTCTTAACTGTGTTGTTTCTGAAGTCCTTTCTATCAAAATGACACTTTCTTGGGAATTCCTTGAAGGTTCAGTGGTAGGGCTCTGCAGGGGCCAGTGATTCGATCCCTGGTTGGGGAACTAAGATCCTATATGCTACCTGGCGTGGCAAAAAAAAAAAAAAAAGTGAGACTTTCTTTAGTAATATTGAATACATATTTTTAGAAGTAATTATCTTGTCAAAAAATATTGAAAAAGTGGTGGTATATTTATTCTTTTTTTTCATTTATTTTTATTAGTTGGTGGCTAATTGCTTTATAATATTGTAGTGGTTTTTGCCATACATTGACATGAATCAGCCATGGATTTACATGTATTCCGCATCCCGATCCCCCCCTCCCACCTCCCTCTCCACCCGATCCATTTAATGCTTCCTTTAATAAAGTGATGAAAACTTTTAAATAAATTAGTTAAATAAGAATAAATTTTTTGACCATCCAGTCTATCTTAAACATTAGTTCTATTACAAATTTGAGAGTTATCCCTTACTGTATCTTAAATCTTAATTATGGTAAGAAATAATGGAACATCTTGATTCACTAAAAAGAAAAATCTTATTATTTGGGAATCTATCTTAAATTCAAAGTTTAAATTTAGGTACAATTAAAGTTATAAATATTTAATGAATGAGATATCCTGTGACATGTGTATTATTAAAGGACTGTATAAAAATGATTAATAAAGTGATATATAGATAGGAAAAATAACAGGAAGTTACCTGTTCTAATAGTTTTGCTTATGTTCAATGAGTAAATAGAATAGTATTTTGAAAGAAAGCTGTCTGAAGACAATGTTGTCCAGGAAATGTCTGTTCATTATCTGTAGCTTCTAGCTATGCCTTCTTAGGACCATTTGAAATTCTGTCTTCTGAAATTTTTTCCACCTTCAGATTCTTTTTGTGCTACTTCCTCTTGCATTTGATACAAAATAAGCTTACACTAACTAGAAAAAAATACTGAAGATGCTGAATATGGAATTTTATTCTAGAATATTTATACTTGAAAAGGAAACACACCCATAAGGAATGAAATATAGGAAATGTTGATAAAGATATTTTCATTATATTCTGAGCCATTTTTGTACTTATGAAAATTTTCAAACATAGACAAAGAGTAAAAAGGGTGGTCCAATGGATTCCAAATATCTATCACCCACTTGTAATAATGAAAAAATTTTTTGCAATTTGCTTCATCTTATTTTTTAATATGTTTTAGAACAAATTCCACACATCATATAATTTCACACCTATATAATTCAGCATGATACTGAGATATGTTGAAAGCTGTTGACCAGGAATTGGTAGTTATTTTTATACAATGTCATAATTTTTTAGCTTGTGGTAGTAAGTCCAATGGAATCTGTTGCCCGAGCTTGAACTGCTTTCAAAAAATGAAAAACAGGTGCTGTCCTTTTTCCACTAGTACACGTGATGGCTGACATCCCTATATGGGACACACTATCATGGTAATCCAAGCTCATAACTATAAATACCACCCTTTTATTTACAAAGAATGCAAGTAATTAAAAGGGTAAGGCTAACTCTGGATTTGATTTTTAAGTGCAAATTTGTGAACCTTAGTGTTTATTAACAGAAACAAATTATTCGCCATATATCCTGCAACTACCAATTATAACACACGCATGTAGGGCACTTTAGTTGAGAGCAACAGCTATAAGAGCCACTTTTTTGCTGAGGCAGCAAGTGGGAAAGTGGGGCAGTGCTTGGGCGAGATTAAGGTATTTTTTATGGAAGAGGTGAGAAAGCCATTTCCTATAATGGCATCAATGACTTAGTGAGGACCTGGAGTTTGCAACACTGCAAATGAATGGTGTCAGTATACATTAAGCCAAGCACTAAATCAGCCTCCTGAGGGGATATGCTGAAGTGTTAAAAGTCCTTTTCAAAATCATGGGAAGCAACTTGGGCTTGGTTTTTAAAAGTATACTCAATATTATATAAGAGATTGTATATATTACACATAATGTAATATACATTATATGAGAAACTAAATATTATATGTATATGTGTGTATACACACACACACACATACTAGAAATTATAAAAAAGCTATGAGATATTTAGGTTTTTTTAAGAAAAGAATTGCTCAGTTGTGTCTGACTCTTTGTGACCCTGTGAACTGCAGCGGGCCAGGCTTCCCTGTCCTTCGCCCTCTCCCACAGTTTGCTCAAACTCATATCCATTGAGTCAGTGATACCATCCAACCATCTCATTCTCTGTCACCTGCTTCTCCTCCTTCCTTCGATCTTTCCCAGCATTAGAATCGTTTTCAATGAGTCGGCTCTTTGCATCAGGTGGCCAAAGTATTGGAGCTTCAGCATCACTCCTTCCAGTGAATATTCCGGGTTGATTTCCTCTGGGGAAAAGTACCTGGGGTTAAAAAAAAGATGAAAAACAGTGCTCTGTGTTTTTCTTCCTTCATGTGTGATCCTTAGACTTCCTGTATTAAAATCAGTGATGTGTTTGTTAATATTCATAGCCCCCAGACCTGGGGAATCAAAACCTATAGCAACAGAATCTGATATTATGAATTTTAAGAAACTCCAGACAGATTTTCATTCTTATGCAGCTTAACTGGAAAAATAAGTGAAGATCTATCAGTGGTTGCCAAACATCTGATTACTGTGTGGTATCAAGCTGGCAGTATCCTTATCATCTATGAGGCTTTACAAAGCTCACTTTCTCATGCTCCTTCCAGAGACACTGGTTCTGAAGTTCTGAATAAGATTAAAAACTTCCCAGATAATTCTGATGCACAGCCAGGTTTGGAAATCTTGGAATTAAATGAGCACCTCCCAAGTCATTTACAACTCTCATTTTCAATGATTCTTTGCATTGGCACCAAGATATCAGGATATTGTCTTTGATATAAGTTTTTTGTAACAGACTTGAAGCTGCACAGTGATATTGCATCTTCCATAAAAGCAGAATTTAGCTGTTGATTACAGGAAGAATTATTTTAAATAATCCCCTTAGCAGTGTTAGAGAAGAGACCTAGTATAAAAATGATCAGGCCCTATATTCCCTGGTGGTGCAGATGGTAAAGAATCTGGCTGCAGTGCCAGAGAGCTGGATTCAACTGGGTCGGAAAGATCCCCTGGAGAAGGAAACGATTACCCACTACAGTATTCTTGCCTGGAGAACTGCATGAACTTTAGGAGCCTGATAGGCCAGCAGTCCATGGGGTCACCAAAGAGTTGGACATGGCTGAGCGACTAACACTTTGACTTTTGTATTTATCTTTTTAATTTTTAATCTTTCAAATTTATTTTATTGACACATAGTTGATTTACAATGTTGTATTGATTTCTGCTGTATAGCAAAGTGATTCAGTTCTACATATATTTATACATTCTCTTTCACATTCTTTTTCATTATGGTTTATCACAGGATATTGAATATAGTTCTCTGTGCTATCCAGTAAGACCTTGCTGTTTCTCCATTCTGTATATAATAGTTTACGTCTGCTAATCCCAAACTCCCAATCCAGCCCTCCCTCACCCTCTTCCCTCTTGGCGCCTATGAGTCTGTTCTCTATGGATTGGACCCTGTATTTAAATAGTTGTGTAACACCCCACATTTACATATGCAATGTGTCGCCAGATTCTTAAAAGTCAAGGCATGGCCAAATCAAGCGTTAGATAGAGAGGAGGGAGGTGTAGGTCAGGAAAATGTTCTCAGGCCAACACTGCAGAAAATGTATTGTTGAAACTTCAAAGCTCTTTTTAAACTTACAACCATTACACTCTCTCTCCTTCTTTCTTCCAACATGGTAAAACCTCCACAGGTTGCCACAGTTTCGATGACCATCTGCCTTCCAACCAAGATGGCGGAAAAAGCAAAAACGTGGTGAATCTTGGAGCAATCCGGCAAGGCATGAAGCGCTTTCAGTTTCTGTTGAATTGCTGTGAACCAGGGACAATTCCTGATGCGTCGATCTTGGCAGCTGCCTTGGATCTCGTAAGTTCTTGCAAGAATTTTCTCACCCTGCACTCCGTTCCAGTTAATTCTGCTATTGGAGGAAAGCATGAATCCCTAATCCTAACCCTAACTATGGATTTATGTTTTGGCCTTATTTTTTTCCCCTCAGCATTAGTGGGAAAAGGAGGGGAAAGGTGGTGAGGTAAAAGAAGAAAAGAAATGAGGGAAATTCTTAGTAAATAAATTCTATATAGCATCATAATTTAAAGTTTATGAATCTTTTAAATATAATACATATATTAAAATATATAAAATATATTCTGTACAGCATCATGATTAACAGTATATGAGTCACATTCCAGAACAGTATGAGACTTCCTGGCTTAAAATCTCTCTGACATCTGTTAGCCAAACACTGTAAAATGAGATTAAATGTAGTAAGAGTAATAATAATATTGTGTCTACCTCCTAGGGCTAGTGTGAGTATTAAATGAGATACTGGATATAAAGTCTTCATCACAATGCCTGAAATATAGCAAGTTCTCAATAAAGTAGGCCATTATTATTGTTAATTGTTATTAGTCATGTCTGTCATGTATTTATCCTTTAAACTCTGTCTTGGTTTAATTACCTATAAGTTGAGGGAGAATATGAAGCAAGGATCAATTGAAATTAATAGTGCAGAAACACCTTGAGCATCGTGAGGCATTATTCACATGTAAGAGATTCAAAAGTATAATGTGGATCTTGTTTAGAGAGTATTTTTGTCAGGTAAACGAAGCCCAGACATGAGTTTAGAACTGTCTCTCAATTTCCTTTATTTACCTTCTGGTTAAATAAATTCTTCATATGCTATATAAATACTGGGTACAAAATGCCAGGTAAATATCAAGAAATAAAAGTCTTTTATATTAACATTTTTAAAAGAATTAAAGTAGACTTTTTAACAGCAGAAACCCTTTAGCCCATTTTATAACTCACGATCATATAAATGCTGGCCACTCATATTTTTGCCTTGGAAAATCATCTAAAGCTTATAATTCATGACATTTTTCTGTGACATTAATAGTTTTTACTGTCATGATATTTAGTGACCGGCAAGGTATGTAGCTTCACGTAAGCCTGAAATGCAAATACCACTGTAATCACCCAAAAGTTATTTATATAAAGTTTTTCAGTCAGTTTCTTACTCTTGGATATTGGCCTTTGTAAATATTTTTCTTAATTCCAAAGTGGTTAATGTGTATTGATATACGCTATGGTGACTGTAAAATGCAGAGAGTCACAGGTCTCCAGGAGAGCTGAGGCAGGTGGCAATATACAAAGAATGAGATGCCTGTCTAAAGCGAGAGGGCTGACAAGGCAGAGAGCCAATTTCTTGTTATCTAAGTGGGAGAGTGGTAACTAGCCTGTCACTCTCTTGAGTCATGCATGGTTCTTCTTAATCACATCTTGATCTACTCTGAAAGGAGCACATTAAAATAAATTAATGTAACAAATTGATAAAGAAAGGACAACTGAACCTTTAGAAAATGAGTAAGTACGTGGTTAGTTCACAAAAAATACTAAAGCCAATAAAGTGTGCCACATTTTGTTTGCACTTCAGAAATACTCATTAAAATAGCCATAAATTCCTGTATTATAACTGTCAGATTTACAATGGTTAGAAAGCGCTCACAGAGTATAAAATATCATGGTGTTGGTAGCAGTGGAAGCAGCAGGATTTGATTAGGGAACAGAAGAAAGTATTGGAATAACAGGGTGAATAACAGTGAGAATGCAGTAAGTGTGAGCAGAGTTCTCGGCCTCTCCTGAGTTGTTAGTAATTTTTGACTGGATCTAGTCATAGAGGAAGAGAAACATATATTTGATATATCAAATATCAAATGGAAAGGATGGTGAAAATTTGAAAGCCTAGAAGTCAGTGTGGCTTACAAGATACTCATCATATAATAATTGATTACCTCAGCCAATATCTCTTGAAGAGAGATATGTGCCAGGCATAGTGCAGTAAAAGATAACACAACAGAATTCATCTGGAAAGTATTACCTGTTTTGCAACTTTCCTTATGAAGATAATATTTGTATGATGATCTCTTTCCTAGACAGAGTGTACAGCATTCTTAGGTTGACAGACTAATAATTAACACTTACTGTGTGCCTATTGTATTTAAAAGAAAAAAAATGAAACTCAAAAAGACCAACTGGCCAGGGATTGAAGTCAACAAATGATAGAGCTGGATTAGAGCAGACTCTATATTTTATACAACACCATGTTGACTCTCTCATTTAAAAATTATGTGAGATCACTATAGGAACTTTAAAATATGAAAAATAAGAAGTTCTATATTTTAAACCTGATAGTTTAAATGTGGTTTTAAAAAGTGATGAGGACAGCAGCTATTTGAACAATTTATTAAACACACAATAGCAATGGTGCATTAGAGCTTTATGGGTAATCTGTGCTGTAGAGTTCCAAATGTACTATTGTGTCCATCTTTGTCTCAATTCTGAAGTCACAGATACTTTGGAAAATTTTTAGACAAAGGAACCATCAAATTTTATTAAAATTTACTGATGGTATAAAACAGAAGGAATAAATACTTCCTATATAGAAGGCTTTTAAGATTTATAAGATATGTGGGCATGGGAAAAACAGGAGGCTTGTCACCAACAGATTGATATACTTAAAGATTTAATAAATAACCCCAGTCAAGCAAATTAACACTGGCTTCTGAATGGAGATTATGTTAATAAGAATATTGATGAACACTTTGATAGTCATCAATACTTTGTCTCGATGCTGGAATTTTATTCCTTCTCATCAGATGTTTCCATACCTATATAATCTCTAACTTCTATAATGCTTAGAGTTTCCAAGGAGATTTAATTAGTGTCAGAATTCCATAGAACTTTTAAAATTATTCTACATCTTCCAAATAAGTTTGTGGCCAGTTAGTAACAAATCACTAGACTCTCCTTTCTTCCTTTCCTGTTGGACCAATTCTGGTCTGCTTGATCTCAATCTTATTAATCTCATGGTAAGAAATAAAATAAAGGAGATTTGATGTTTATAAGCAATATCTTCAAGCTTCAAAGTAAAGAAGCATTTTCTGATCATTATAGATATCCAGTGATGAAGTAGATACAATGAGAAGTAATGAGCTCTTTGTCATTACACTGGACTCAATGGGGGAGGTTTACAGGCGGACTTAAGAAGTAGGTGGTTAGTGTGAATTTCTTTATTATCTGAGAGTCTTTGATTCTAGATCAAGGTCAAGGAGCATCCAGAGGTCAGTATCAGCCAAGATTAAAAGGAAACAGAGGAATTACAGGCAGACCTGGTTGGTTGAAAAAAAAAAAACCAGATGAGATAGATGATGATGGTGTGATGGTAAAAAGAGGGGATAGGTGATGATGGTGGTGATGGTATAAAAAGAAGGGATAGGTGATGATGGTAGTGGTGGTAAAAAGGGGATAGGTGATGATGGCAGTGATGGTAGCCATTCTGGTGGTGGTGGCGATGATGGTAGTCATCATGATGGTAGTGATGATAGTGGTCATGATGGTAGTGGTAGTGGTGGCAGAGATGAGGGTGGAGGATAACAAAGTAACGTTTTCATTATTTATCATAGTTTATAAAGCACCTTCATATTCATTATTTTATTTGGTGATATAAGAGGAAAGGATTAAGCCAGGAAATGGTCTCCAAATGAGGGCACCCTTAACTTCAATTTCTCAGATACAGAAAGGTGAAGGAACCGAAATCACTGGTGAATGCTGGCAAAAGGACTGAGAGGAAGGAAAGTATAGCTGCATGTCCAATATGTTTGAAGCAAAGTGGCATTCTGTTTTTACCACTATGCAAGTGTGGCAATGGCAGTTGTTCATACCTGTTGATTTGGGGTTAAGAGCCCCTTGAGATTAATGTTCACAAATGTCTTTTATTAGATGTGTTATTAAATTTTGTATCCTCTGTGTTTTGTTTCACTTAATATCTGACCTCATCTGCTTCCTGACTTTCAGAAATGCTTCACTTTTAAATATGTTTTACATGTTTTCCAATGCATTTGTGGTTTTAGTGTATAAATGTATAGATATAGAAATATGTAGCTACAGATATCCATCTAGTCAAAGCTATGGTTTTTCCAGTAGTCATGTATGGATGTGACAGTTGGACTATAAAGAAAGCTGAGTGCCGAAGACTTGATGCTTTTGAACTGTAGTGTTTAAGAAGACACTTGAGAGTCTCTTGGACTGCAAGGGGATCCAACCAGTCCATCCTAAAGGAAATCAGTCCTGAATATTCATTGGAAGGACTGATGTTGAAGCTGAAACTCCAATCCTTTGGCCACCTGATGTGAAAAACTGACTCATTTGAAAAGACCCTGATGCTGGGAAAGATTGAAGGTGGGAGGAGAAGGGGACAGCAGAGGATTAGATGGTTGGATGGCATCACTGACTCAAATGGACATGAGTTTGAGTAAACTCCGGGAGTTGGTGATGGACAGGGAAGCCTGGTGTGCTGCAGTCCATGGGGTCTCAAAGCGTCGGACATGACTGAGCGCCTGAATGGAACTGAACTGAGATATAGATATAAATGACATAGATGGATAGATTGATGATAGATACAGATGTCAGATATATATGCAGATACATATGTACATACAGATAGGTACAGATAGGTAGGTAGATAGATAGAGATATAGGTATAGGTTCTACTATTTCATCCTATATGATTTGGGAGAGGAAGGGAAAATGAGTATATTCAGTTCATCATCATTTTACAGTCCAACACTCTCCCATCTCCTTTTTGTTGTTTGCTTTTGTAGGATGTTGCATTCATTTTTTTAAGTACAACTTAAATGCAATGTTTACCTTATGATGTGGTTTTTATTTCAGAACAATTTTCATTGTCTCTTTACCTGCATCATAGAATTTCAATGTGATTTTTTTCTAGTTTACAATTTTATTCAGAATTAAAAAACATTATTAAATGAAAGAAATGCTGGAAATGTCAGTGTTCAAAGTCTTGCCCA